ATTTATTATCAATGTTTGATGATAATATTAGACAGTATTTATTTTTCCAACTTTCATGTAGGAAATTATTGTATCAACAGTCGATTATTCGATAACATCAAACATCACTAATATACTAGTATTTAGGTCAACCAATGCAGTTTACTTCACAATACAAATTAGATGGGCAATTAATAAAAGAAGAATATTTATGTGGGCAATTATTACAGGAAATATGGTAAATTTGTTTCTTTAATTCATTCATTTTCTCGTCTCTTCATTTTTAAATGAAAAAATGAGAAAANTCAACCAATGCAGTTTACTTCACAATACAAATTAGATGGGCAATTAATAAAAGAAGAATATTTATGTGGGCAATTATTACAGGAAATATGGTAAATTTGTTTCTTTAACTCATTCATTTTCTCGTCTCTTCATTTTTAAATGAAGAAATGAGAAAATGAATAAATTAAATCTTCAGATTATTCAATAATACAAATAATCTAAAGTGAAAAAAACATTAAACATTTTTTTAACAAAATATAATTACCTTGGCAAATGATTGAGGTTCACAGAATATAGTGATGCATCCTTCATAATTTTTAGGAAAAGTTTCATAATTTTCCAACTGATATTTTTTATACGTTCCTTGAAAATGTTCACGTTTGAATAAAAAGTCAAGATGGCAGTGTGTATCAATAAAACCAATATTAATATTTTTAGAAAAAGAAATATCATATGAAGGTAAACTGAAAAAAGAATTCATTCGCCTTCTCTTTACAGATGAGTTAATCTCATTACGATGGTCTGTAGGATATGACATTCGTCTTACATAATTATATTTACTTTTTGGTAGTGATACTTCATCTTCACTTCTTCGTCTTTTCCTAAATACTATAGGTAAATGAAAAGATTCATCTACAGTTTTTGTCATATTAGAAATATCATTTTTCTTTGAACTATTAGAATCACAGATATCTTCAAACGATATTTCACAAGTCTTCACCGAACTCGATGATTCTGTTGCTAAATCAGATATAGAAAGTTCACCTTGTTTACTGCATTCAGAAGAATTACAAGCAGTTAGATTGTAATTTAATGCGGGTGAATCTTTTTGATAATTTTCAGTACATTTTAAAGTTAAATTTTCTTGAGAGTTCAAATCACAGATTTTATCATCAGCAATTTTTGGTTTTTTATTTACAGTCCAACCACTTGGAGATTTTCTTTTCATAGACTTGTACTGTCCATATTTCATTACAGATGAATCCATATTCAAATTTTCTAAATGAAATTGCATGTTATAATTTCTTTCAGCATCATTCCTATTTTTTTTGTTTTTTAATTTTTCTGGACTACACAAATAAAAAGTGGAGGTAGTTTTCTTCGGTTTAACTATTTTTGACTGATTAATAACAAAATATCTATTGTCGTCTTCCAAATTATCTTCCGTAACGCTCATTTTATAATGTAAAGACATTTCTTCATATGTAACAATCACTGAATATATATATTGTTATTGTTAATTATTGTACATTTATATTGTTAACTAGCTTACCCGTCGCGCTTGCTGCGATCTCAGAAGAAATGAAATTCAAGCAAACTCGTTATGATAAAATTAAATTTTCATTTTATCATTTTTATTGAAACTTATTATTATTATTATTCGTTTTCATGGGGAAACATTTCAAAGTGTCGTTTCAATTCTATTTATTTATTGGAGTGCTCGTGGATACACGATATTTTTTGTTTTTTCGTCTGGTGCGTACACGAATAAATCGGAAGATTTTCCGACGCATGAGCCGGCCACAGATACATATATATATATTTATCCTTTATAATTTTTATTATTTAATTGCTCCTTCCTCTCTTCCTTGGCATGTTGTGAAATTTCTGATAGTTGGATAATAAACCGTTCTATTGTAATTTGTCTTTTTAAATTATTTTGAGTCGATATTAAAATTTGAAAAAGAGGGATACCTAGATCGGTAAAATAAGCGAATTTCTTCCTACAACTTCGGTTGTTGTTCGGAGTACAGTTAAGGTTTTAACGAAGTTCGAGCGAATACATAATTAGCAAGAAAAAGTCGAAATAAAGTGATTAAACAAAAATTATTATAAATATCGTAAATAACAGTTCACAAATGCATATATAGAGATATTTTTTGAAGGGGGAAATGGTCTTCACAATTTAAAATCGATCGGACGCACTGTGCTCGAATGCTCGTGTAAACGCGCGCTATCTATCGTAGGATAAATGTACTATGCCAAAAACCTTCGCGGGAGTGTATTAAAAAACTTTCCGAAGTTTTATGGCAATCGTACTATGCCACGAACCTTCGCCGGAGTATATTAAACAACTTCCCAAAGTTTCACGGCAATCGGATAAACGGTGTGGTAATGCATGAAGGACAGACACACACACATTCATTTATATATATATAGATTATTGTACATTTATATCTGGCAATACTGGTAAAGTTGTTAGTCGTCAGAGTTTCGTCTCCCGAGTCCTCCCCCGAATCGACAGTTTTACCACTCTTGGAATTTGCTAACGAATTATTCAGCGATGGAATTACTTGGTACAAATGAAAGCGATTTCACTAGTAAACGCAAATAATTTCACGATTTTATACCAAGTAATTCCATCGCTGAATAATTCGTTAGCAAATTCCAAGAAAGTGGTACGAAAGTGGTAAAACTGTCGATTCGGGGGAGAGGGTTTTCACCCCCAACCGGTAGATCCCCCCTTTGTGATAAAAAAGTACCTAATGAACCACACGCTACGGAATCGGAGTCACGTGACCGGAAATGACGTACTTATAGTCGCGTGTGATATAGTTGAAAGCGAGTCTCTGAGCGACGCGAAGGCCGATTTGGGGGGGCTCGGGAGAAGGTTCCGAGTGTCACGTGACCCGCGACCGGCACCCCATTGGCCGCGGAGCGCGCTGCATCTCTATGGCTGAGGAAAGACCACGTGATTTGCTGTCATGCGCAGTGCTGTCCTTGGAGCGGGGAAGTGCGCGAGGAGCAAGGTCTTAGATTATCAGGTTGCCTCATAGAGAAGAAACGCTTCTCATTGGTTGCTTATTTGACGTCACTCGTAGTCGAAAACGAAACATCTTACTATGTCCTTATGGTAGAAACGTTAACGATCAGAGGCTCGTAGCTTTAATTACACGCTAATATTTTATTAATTACGATACTTACTTAATTAAATAAAAATAAAAATTGATTATAAATAAGAAAAATCCGGAATATTGAGCAAATCTTCGTAATTTTTACGTGTAAAGTTGAAGTTAAAATGAGTTTTTCTACTTTGTAAATGAAATCTATTTTATCTATTNTTATAGAATGGAATAAATATTTCGAAATATATCACGATGAATCGTATAAAAAAGGCCCCGGAGTTGTACAGAATTAGTCAGTGGAAACAGTTTTACCTTTTACTTTAATAAAAGATTTTTGTAAATTAAGAACTATAATAAGAATTAATTATAGAAATCTTAAACAAGAAAACTATAAAATATTGAAAAGAATGCCTTCTGAAAATGGTGATTGTCGAAAAAAAATTAAAAAGTTAAGTAAGATAATCACATAATAAAAAATATAGCTCATTAATTTGTTAAATAAATATTAGACAAAAGACTTGTAAATTTATTGACGTACAGTACACTTATTAAATCCGAAAATTCTACAGCAGCTTACATTTAGTAGTAATTTAATAATTAATTAAGAAATGATTTAATATTTTATCGTATTTTGTTATTTGAAAGATCTGTCGTGTTGAAGTAGAGGACATGCTGTGACGTCACATAGAGCCAAGGTCACGCTAACAAATATACGGGATCTGGCCATCCTTGTAGTTTAAAGTCCTTGAACCACGCTACTTTTTAACCTTCAGATCTGGCAACACTGCTGGGGAGAAAGGAAGTGAAGAAAGAGAAGAAGCTGGAACTTCGTCGAGAGAGGACGGAGAAACGAGTGCGGTCCTGAGCGAGGAGTCGAGCAAGGAGTGAAAAAAAAACCTTGCGAAATAAGGCCGAAGGAGGATCATACCTTGATCGCCTAGAGCAGTGTTTCTCAACGGGGGCGATTTTCCATGTTGAGGGAGCGATTTGTAACAATTTATATTTTTGAGGCGAAAAACAAGTCTTGGTAATGAATCTTTGAATGGCTCCAGAACTTAATTTCTTTCCTCTTGTGAACGTCTACGTTTTCTGGGGGTTGTCTTGTGGTTTTCCTGCTTGTTGTTACTTGAATCTGGGATAACTCGATTTCTTAGCAACGGTCCTACGTTACTCTATAATTCAGTCTTTTATTTCTCCTTCCTTGGTTTTAAGTAGGTTAAGTTTTAGTTATAAGTCGCCCCCACGTGTTTTGTTTCCTTTGTCACGTGTCGGTTGCCACCACAGAGAATTGTTAGTGTAGACGATTATTTTATGTATATCGAACCCAATAGACTGTAAGTTGGAATCATTTTAAAGAACCTGTGTTTGAGAATAAAAATCTTTTGTATTCTTACTCGTTTTATTTGTTTCCTGTTCGCAATAATACATTGCCCTCAAAAGGAACATCACAAGATTTTCTTTCAGTCATTCCTCAGTATAAATTTGTATATTGTGATTAGGGATTCGAGATTGTTTTTTAAATTCTTTCCGCCCTGTGGGCACTAAGAGGGCCTATTTTTGGCAAGCCCATTATGAATTCGGCCAGGCCCACAATGGGGCAATCGTGTGGTGAGGGACGGGGCCCGACATATCCAAACGGTCCACTCCCCGAAAAATTCCTGGGGATTATTTGACCCGTCCGGAGACCCCCAGAGCGGTAGGCTGCAACCTTGACCGCTCGGCCAACCGGCCAGGGATTCGAGATTAAGAAACAAATGATTTTTCTTATAAGACTTGGATTAATTTTTTAAAAAATCCAGCAACGAGTTGCTTAACTTTTCCGGTGACATATGTTATATTTTATTAAAAACTTTTGTGTTATTTACAATTATAAAATGGCAGAAAGCGTAATTTTTCGATAAAAAGAACAGGATTTATTAAGCTTCAAATTGGGTGGACAAAATCGAAATTGCATTTCACGACATTTCAAGGTCACAGAGTCCAAAAATGTAAAAATCTTGGGGGCCATTTTTTTGGCCGATCGCTATACTTTCCCTCTATTATATACTGTATGATGGCGGGTAAAGTAAAAATGATGCCGAAGAAACCATAAAAAAAAAAGGGGATCATTCTTACATCATTCTTCGTTTACATTATTGGCGATTGTAAAATCAAAATATAGATTCAATTCTGAAAAATGTATATCAGATATTCAGACAAGATTTAATTCTTTACGCATAAACAATGGCATCCATCTTATTAGTATGTAAATTTGTTTTGATCGAATAAATGGTAAAATTTAAAGTATAACAAAGAATTGTTTGGAATTAAAATTTCTTTGATTTAGTATCAGTTTAATTTATGTAGTACGGTATAGGTGTAGTTCCTTAAAGTGCTGCTATCTGCCAATCTTGATCAAATATGTATCCGCATTATCATCATTAATCCATTCAAATATCCATTGGTATTGTATTGCATTGCTCTACTACTGAAAACACATAAAATTACTTTCAATTTTTACTCTAAAAACTGTCACTTTCTTCAGACTACAGTACCAATTCTTAACGACAAATCTTAAACTACCTGTTTTAAATACTGCTTTTGTCGTTCCAAATAAACTTATATTAACTTTGATCATTTTAATCATTTTATTAATAGTAACACTAACAAGAAAAATCAAAACGCAACTGCATAGTAATGGTTTTAAAATTCGGCTCTTACTGGAAATAATGGCTTCCGTGTTCCGAAGATAAATATTGAAATATTTTGTATGACTATGTGATTGGATTTTACAGTTTTAAATTATTTACATACATTTCAATTTAGTTAATTTTATTGAAAAATGTCACACGTTATAAAAAAAGACTTAAAGCTAAGAGACAAAATAATTGAATTCGCTTCATATCAAAATTATTTCTTTGCAAAAGAAATTTTCATAGCATGAGTAGGAGTTATTTTAAAACCCTGAAGGGCATCTTTGGCGGCAGCAGACAAAACTTCATTTTCAAATTCGACAAATGCGATGTCGTGACGACCAGGCACCAGACGAACTTCTTTGAAACCGGGAAACCTGAAATAAAATTTAATAAAATTAGATTTTATTTTGATTTCCAGTGGTTTTTAATCTTCAATACTTTTTCCTAGTACAATATCTAATGCTAAAATTCAAAATACAGTGATAATAAATATATTAAGTCATTACTTTCAATTTGAATAATTCATCCACAGATTTATATATATAAAAGTATTTATTTGTGTGCAACCATTGATCAAAATGTCACACAGCCGATCAGATCAAAGTTTCACCATTGGCACATGATCAATAGTTTGCCAATGATACAAGTCTAATTTCGCACTGCAGCAAACTGGAAGGGCTGCCATTATTTCTCTCATTCTTCAAAGATTTAATTGTCAATTTCAAATACGTAAAAACATTTTTCATTTAAAAGTTTATTGTAATGTGCATATATATTTTGAGAAGAGAAGATACAGTAGAACCTCGATTATCCGGACTAATTGGGGATGAAGGTAGTCCGGATAAGGAAAAATCCGGATAATCGAAACAAATACTTTAATTTGTCTTTTAATGATAATACACGACGTTTTNGAAGAGAAAGAAGAAGAGGAAGAAAGAAAGAAAGAAAGAAAGAAAAAAAAACATATTGGAATAAAACATCCGAAAATTACATTCTTCTCGAAGCAATAGCCAACATCTTTATCCTTCAGATCTCTCCAAGTTACAAGATTTGCATGGACAAAATAGGATTTGAGGAGAAGTCCTTGAAAAGGCTCGACTTCACACCACATTCACGCTGATACGCCTTTGAAGAAGAGAATGGCATGAGGCATTCCAATTAAGATCGACTGGAGATGACTTTCTTTGTAAGGATTGTAAATTCTGAAAAGTGGAAAAGATGCCATGGAAACGAACAAATGAAAAATCAAAATAAAATAAAAAATAAATAAATAAATAAATAAAGTACAGAAAAATATTCTTATAAAAGAGATATATATCAGTGACATTAAAATGCCGTAAGCATAAATATTAATTTAAGAAAACTGTCAGATTATAAAAATGCTTTTAATGTAATTTAATTTACTCGTTTTTATTAAATCATCCGAAATAAGATATTGATTTAATTATGTAGTAAGCATGCATTAATCCAACTGTTGTCGTGGAGATACTGACTTTTCTCATTAGAATCCCTTCTTCAATTACTGTACTTCGACTCATCTCTGTCTATGCCACTTCAATCTAAACTAATAATCTTACTTCCCTGTTATAAAATCTTTTTAAATAATTCGCATCAAACTTAAAACTTTATAAAATTTTTCTTAAATATACATTTTATGCACAGCAAATTAATGCCATTAATTTCGTAAAATGATTCTGTCACATACTAATTCCTAACTCTACTCTCTATATAAAATAATTAGCTTAAAATCATCAAGACTCCACCCATTTGATGGAAAAAACACAGCAGCAGCAGAAACAGAAATTAACGAATTTTCATGGAATTTTTGAACAAGTGGGATTCAAAGCCCACTATTATAAATATAGAATTATAACATAAATAATATACAATTAACGTGGCCACATAAAAAGGAATTTATCACTAATGATATATCATGTATATTTTAGTGGCATGATGTGCCACACATCTAGTTTTTAATAACATATTAAAATAATTATTTCTTATGTAATTTTAACAATAAGTTTAATATTTCAATAACACACATCCAACAATATATTCAAATAATCAAATAAAAACCTTAGTCGAAATTAATCATTAAACCCAATAGAGGAATCACACTCGAGTCACAGCAAGAACTATTTTATGAACCACTAATTTAATGTTTGAATTAAGTCAGAAAAGCAATGGAAATAGAATGAAATATGAATGTTCAAATTCTCACCTACCTAAGAAACATTACTCTTGCGACCCAACATGTTAAACTAATAATTTTACGTAACATTAAATATAATTGAGAAAATATAAAATCTAGTTACAAATTACGTGATTATTCTGAATTAAAAAGTACGCGTGTATTAATTGTTATATACTTACTGGTTAAACAACATGGATAACATCATTTCATTTGTTTCTTCTGGCAAGTTTGTCAAGAACAAAATCTGATTAGGTGGTTGTTCTGGTATTGGTACCGGTTGTGCTATAATAATAAAATTTATTAGTTTACTACCTATTAAAAATTTTACTATTATATTAAATTGAGTATATTCGAATTAATATAATAGTATATAACTAAAAAGCATATAAATTAGTAGTATATTTTGTTTAATTCTAATACAGTTTTACTTTCTAAAATTATACAGTGGTACCTCAGGTTACGAACGCCCCAGCATACAAAATTTTCAGGATACAACATGAAATTCGAACATATTTTTGCTCCACGATACGAACAAAAACTCACCATACGATGTTACATTAGTTCACATTTTTCATTTGTTTTTCTTACTACAGTTATTTTTTTTAATGTATTACTTGGCTTTAATTAGAGAATGTTTTTCGCGTTGGAACGAATTATTTGGTTTTACATGTAATCGTATGGGAAAAGATGATTCACCTTACGACATTTTCATGATACGATCTCAGTTTCGGAACGGATTAATTTCGTATCCTGAGGTACCACTGTATATAAATTTCAGAATCTTAGCATTTTCCCCCATGTCTGTACAGTTAGTATTTTTCTGAAAAGACTGAATCTGATATACAATTTCATACTTTAAAAGTGTCTTGTATAAGATTAATTTAAGCTTCAATACTTCTTCATACATTTAGTTTAATGCATTTTTTGAAATAAAAATATTGAATTAGAATTAACAATAATCTTTGTACTTTTTATTCAAAAATAATCTAATTTTAAAAACTTACATTCATGTACAAATATTTATAACCAGATAAATAAATTATTTTTCATTACTTTGAAAATTTTAATGTATCTTTTATTAAAATCTCTATTAAGCAAAACGTAACAGGAAATCCATTTAATTTTATGAATAACATCTGTAAGATTGTTATGAAATAGATGGTATCTCATTCCTAATTACAGTAGTTATTAATATTTAAGCTACATTATTAGTACAATACAAGATTGTGTTCTCGTTTTATCCACATAATGTTTGCTTTCACAATGACAAAATTATTATGAATTAGATATATGATCAATGGTGTACCGAATACATTATATCTGCATGTATTCAGCATTCTGCTTCATCACATTGTCAACACCAGCCATATCTAGATGATAACTTTTACTTGAAGGAAGTTTCTTTTACTATTATTCACGAAAAGTCATTGTTTAAATTTTATTTGTGTTTATAGTTTTCTTATCTATTAATGGAGAAATAATTTAATAGATTATCTAAATACAAATTAGAGATAATCAATCATATAAGATAAAATGTGCTATTTATTCCTTACGGAATGATAGGAATGGTAATTAGGTTGTCATAGTACAACAATGACGCAACACTGTTAGTAGCCACAAGAGGCTGTTTATCTCCAAAAATTATAAACTAACTTACAAATGATTCATGTTGGAGTAAATTTGATTATATATTCTGAAAGTCTGTCTCTCAAAATGTATTTTGTCTGTACTCTTTCAGGATCTAACTCTTATAGCTTGAAAGAGGCAAAATTCTTTGTTATAAACAAAAAAAATTACATTAAATGTTGTTGTAACAAAATACAAATAAAAGTTATATCATATGAAAGATAATTAAAAATATATTTATTGGGCTGCAATTTTTTCAAATTGCAGATCTATAAATTCCCACTGTCATCCATTCATTTGTCTTTCCTTAATCTTGAGAACGGAGTTAGATAGATGAAATATGAGACCAGATATAAAAACCTTTAGGGACAAGAGACTCCGCTTAACTATATACAAACTTCAAATGGAAATTGGAAGTCACGTTATTTCAGTTTAAAACTTCTCCCCTGAAAGATGTTAGATATATGACTGGCACGACTCTGTCGTTAAAGGCAAACCACTACTAATAATTTGAGGTAGAGAGCATATATTTTAAATTACAGCCTGGAATTGTGATGGTGCCACAATAAGTTGCTCATTTTACACATAGGTTTCATTGTGTAAGAGCCCAGATTTGACAAAAAAATCTGAGAATTAAAATTTAATTTTTGAAATTAAAACTTTGCTATAATTTTTCCCACAATTGTTAAAATTGTAAAGGATATGATTTTATTCCTCTATGGAGTCACTTCCCTTTCAAGATGATGCATCGAATTGTCACCAGGAACGTGACAGCGAGAATTTGCTATTGGACATAGTCATTGAAACATTGCCAAAGGGCAAGGGGACCATGGGGAGCACCCCCAGATAAAATGGCAAGGTCCAACGATGCCAGAGAGAGTTCGTTATTATCGTTAGTTCGCCATCTTTGGACTAGTGGTCACGCCCGATCCCTTTTGGATACCACTTAAGTAGCTGTCGCAAATCCTATGCCTATCTTAAGACATTCAGAAACTTTCACACTTTTTCGATTCATTGAAGCTTCTCCCAAACAACCTTGCAGACCACCAGGACATCGATCAGCTGATTCTTTGATTCCCAACAAGGATCAACCTTGATTTTACTAAGGTATTTATCGACGTGCGGACATTCTATTAAATATTGAATAAGATTTCTTTCAACAAATAAAATTTCAATCAACATTGCAAGATATTCATTTTAGGTCAATACTGTTATTTCTATCCATCAACCAAAGCCGAATATTATCGGGTTAGATAATATAGCCCGATATTATTCGGCTTTAGTTGATGGATAGCTTTAATCGTATCGGGTATAGTAAAGATGTTTGATTACTGTTATTTCACTATTCAGAAAGATTGATGAAAGAAAACAAATATAAATTTGTCTAAACAGTCTTACTGGATATATATTTAATTAATTAAACTTGTTTACTATATTGTAAAGCCTAAAATAGTCAACATACCGTGAGTTACCATTCCAGGAACCATTGCTCCAGGCGCCATAACACCTAATGCAAGACCTGCTTGTGCTTGCTGAGCCTGTCTAGCTTGTTCTTTTGCAGCCTTCTTTTTCTGTTTCTTAACGTCAACAGCGTCTTCTTTTGTTTTAGGTTTTGCAGGTCTTTCAACAAAGGTGCCTTTCATTTTGGCAATTATGTCAGAGTCTGTTTTGGCATATTGTATTCTCTAAATTTCATAAAATTTAAGCATAAAAATTAATTTGGATTTATATGTAATTTGAGAACTGTTCAATAAAAAAAATTTAAAATTTAAGTATCTTCGGTTTTTCGTTAATTATTTACTTCGTTCATACAAAATTATAAATAGTTTGCTTACCATTGGTTTATCGTAAAAAGGAAAACCTTGCATGGAACGAAGAGCATTCGTTGCACTATTAATATCTTTAAAAATAACAAAAGCTTGTCCTCTCATTTTAAGGGTTGTTAATGCAACTATGTCCAATATTTGTCCAAATTGTGAAAATATGGCATATAATGATTTTTTCAATTCTGAAAAACAGAATTTATAAAAACAAAAAAAAGAAATTAAAGAAGTGATCTGGGCTTTGGTCTTGGTGGCCAATCAAGCTTCCAGGGTGCAGGTGGTGATCTCATCTTGCAGCCTGTGCAATGCAAGAAAAAGGGACACTCGGACCTACCCAGATGGCACCCCTTTTCTAATACATATTTTATAAATTATGTACTTAAAAATTAATATGCTAATTAAAAATTATTATTAAATATATACAGTTATATTAGACAAAATTTCATCGCAAAATATTCTGAAATACTTTAAAAACTCAGTAAAATTACAATATTTATTGTACTATATATATATATGGGGGCTATCTGGTAAGTACTGTACATGGCAGGTGACGTACGGGCAAAATAACACTGCGTTTAATCAGAAGCATAGTGTGATTCAGCAGCAATTAAAGTACATTACATTAAAGTGTTCTTTTAATTATGTTAACCTAAGTTATTAGTTTAGTATCGTGTGGCAAATTTAATTGATTTAATTTGAATTTTCCAAACTATTTAGTAATAATTATTAATTCATTTGTAAATTATTGTTTTATTGTGTGTTAGTGTGCAAAAATTTTTAGAGAAATTGTATTTTCAGGTCTAGAAAATATTCTGTACCTCTGGTACAATTCAGTACTCATTCAGCAGGGATAGAATGAAATTCATATTACTGTCACACTGTTGCTCAACAATGGCCATTCAAAAATGCATGCTGCAATTGAACGTACCATCAGCTTTGAGGTATGTTCAACTGTTCAGTGATAAGATCACTTTAGTCCAGAATTGTAAAGTGGATGAAATCTATCAACAAACTGCATGAGAAAAAATAAAATGATTGAAGATGTGTATGAGATATGTGTATGTTCACACATAGATGGACAAATGACTACAATGAGGAGAGGCATGGTTGACTGATTGTGACATTGTTCAAAAGATTGACAAAAAGACCTAGCAGAACTGCCGCTTTACCAATTCAAATATTTCTAATATATTTCTGCATATCTCTTGCACAGTTCTTTATGAAGTGTTCACTGAAATGTTAGACTACTGAAAGTTTTCTGTCTAGTGAGTGACTAAATTGTTTTTAGAACAACACACCAAAACAATAGATGGGTTGGAATTAACCTTCCCTAAGTGTTATGCCAGAAAAAGTGATGCTATTCTAGATGAGATCATCAATTCGTTCTAGACTGCATACTATTAATAACAAACAAAACTTACTACTACACCTTATCTTACAGCCGAACTTCGGCTGCAAGATAAGGTATAGTAGTATGTTTTGTTTGTTATTAAGTTTTGTTTGATGAGATCATCACTAGTATGCGTAAATGTACAGGAAAAAATTAATGGAGTGAGGCCATATTCACTTGCCAAAGAAGAAAAAGAAAAGAAAGAAAGAAAGGAAAAAAAATCACAAAGTGTTGATAAATTTTATCTGCGGCTAGAAAAGTTGTACAACTGTCTTTTGGGACAAAAGACACATTCTTTTAATAGAATTTATGAAATGAACACTATGAACAACTCAGGAGTGGTTCACATCACAGATTCACACTTTGACAATAATGAGAAACTTCAGTCCAGTATTATGACATGGCTTACTTCAATTGCAGCAAAATTCTATGATGATGATATACAAAAAAACTTTAAATGGTACAAGAAGTGTATCAATTTAGTTGAACACTACGTTAAAAAAAATAATCAGAGCTTGTAGTTTTCAGTTGTATATTAAAATTTGTCTGACTATATTGATAATGATTCAATAATTAAATGGAAGTTACTTTCTGGATAGAAAGCTCTGTTTGTGTGTCTATATAGAGTGGTCCTGAAGACCATGTATAATTTTATACTTTGATAACTAAAGATGTACAAATGTTAAAAAATCATGCAGTAAACAATAATATTTGAGAACCTACATTAAAATGTTTAAAAATCAAATGTAGAACTAATTGATTTTATTTATAGAGCCTGTTAGTGATCTCAAATGGCATCAGTTGAAGAGAAAGTAAATTGCATGCTTTGGCTTGCAGAATTAGTAACAGCTGTACACAATTCATTAGCATAAACAAACCAAATTATACAGTTTTCTTTCTCGAGTATAACCATTTGGGGAGTTACTAACAGAATCTGTAAAGAAAATTAGTTTTACAGTATAAAACTGGTACATTTATGTTGTTCATAGCAATTTTTAATACATAGTAATATTGTAAAAGTGTAAGCAATTGTAAGCAAATTGTAAAATATAGTAATATGAAATATTGTAAAAAGTGTAAGCAATATTCTGCCAATACAGTGTTTCCCGAAAATAAGACCTAGCAGAGGTTTTGCTGAATTGCGAAATATAAGACCCCCCCCCTGAAAGTAAGACCTAGCAAAGTTTTTTTTAGTTGTAACAGTCATCGACAGATGGTTGAAAGTGGCCGTTGGCTTTCTGAAAGTACAGCCACTGATTGGTCAGCAGATAATCATGCCACACGGCATGATTTGCATAAGACTATGGCTTGGAAATCACAGATTTGCATAATGTTATGGCTGGTAATTGCTAATTGGTTGGCCGGGAATCATGCCACATCACATTTGCATAGTGCTACGGTTCAGTAAGTACTAATTGGTCATTGAGCCCAATGTCAACGCTATGAAAAGGTTAAGTTGAAGCGAGAGTGGGAAATCCACTCCAGCACGGGAACTTCGTAAGTTCACTTCAGTTTTATTTAAGTTCAGTNTGGAATCGCCCCAAAACCACCATCACTTGTCACATTTCAACTAATTAGACACCCTTTCCATAACTCATACCCAAAGGAGACAATGTAAAGAAGAAATTTTAATTCCAACCAACTTGAATGGGACTGGAAGAATAAAAATACACAAATACAGTAGACACTCGTTAATCCGAATGCACAGGGCCACCGAGTTCGGATTAACGAGAGTCTACTGTATTAATAAATTTAGAAGTTAATTTTGCATTTAAACAGCATAACAATTTCATTTTGTAAGTATATTACTCTTAAATATATAAAAATAATAACCTTTAAAAGTAATATCGTTATAAAATAATTAAAAAATGCCAACCTCTTTTAGTAATTACGAACAAAACACGAACCACAATGCTTGATATACAGCTAACTCAATACATTAGTATATATTTCATTATGTTGGTCTTCAATTTCACGTGCATTGAACAACATCTATAAGGAAAAATTGGCAATAATAATAATAATAAATATTTTAAATCATTTGATGTTAGAAAAAAAGCATCATTTTAAAATTTAATTTACTGAAATTTAAAAGATAACAGTAAGAAATACATAGAAATTGTGTTTTTTAACATCAAATGATTAAAAATATCATGGATTTTCTTGCTCAATAAAAAACAATTACCATTAAAAAAATTTGTTTCTGATCTGTATGTTTGATAAACATTATTAGAAAATAGAAAAGGAATTTATAAAAATAGTAATTAATATACAGGGATACCAAAAGATACTTTACAACTTCAAAACTTTTATATCGCGGCTTTGAATTATATATGAACCGTTCTACTGTAGGGTTCAAGTGACATACCAACTCAAAAATATTTTTTTGACAAATAGTAACTAACCTTTCTCGTCTATTGCAGGTGACGGAGACCGCATAATCCGAACATAAAAGTTTGAAGCCGTAAACTACCTTTTGGGACACCTATATTACTTCTTAAAATGTTTTAATGTATAGATTTAAATTTCTATGAATATATGTTCATTGTATAAAATTACTTACCATCTTTCTTTATTTTCTCATTGAGATTGTTGATGTAAATAGTATGATTTGGTCGAATATCCATTCTATTTTAAGAAAGTAGTAAAACATTTGTAAAAAAAAAGGGGTCTGAAAATCTTAGTTTTTTTTAGTAAAGAAAAAAAAATAATAATCACACTGATAAATAATTGGGAGTAGTTTGCATTACGAGGGGTACGTTTGTAAAGTCGAACGAGTTGAACGAGAATGACATCATCGTTATTCTTATTTTGTTAGATTTTTCGACCGATTCGTTTATAACTAAATGGCTGTTTCTAAAATCGAAGATATGAATGTTGCTAGTGCAGCCTTATCCGAAATATTTTTCCTAGATTGCTTCAGGTGGACAGTTATTTCTATCATTTCACCTTTTAATTCACAGTTTAAATACTCGAGTAGATTTAGATACATCAATATTGTCAGGCGCCATTTTCTTAACAAATTAAACTAACTCTTTCCTTCATGAACTTCGTTAGAGTTTCGTTCGAAACGTCATCACCGCAGAGCATGCGCACTGAGCGAGACTACTACTTTTAGAACGATTCGTTACTAATGCATTTAACTCATTCGACTTTACAAACGTACCCTAGATATTTCTAAACACGTTGAACCTAGCAGATCAGCAATGTTTTGCACATCACTTATTACTGTACCATTTTTTTCCACCATAAATGGACGGTGTATGTTCAAGCAGTACAGAAATACACAGATTGGCACTGGTAATATATTGATCAATATCAGGGCCTAAAAACAAAGAGGGAATGGACCAGTCCATCCAGCATCTCTGGAAATTTCCTGATGGCCTTATCTATCATTTCCTATTATTAATAAACCCGATTATTAGATTACAGCCAAATTATATCAGGCAATATTGATGCTACTATTAATAATTAAATATTAAGTAATTTGGCCTAGACAGAGGTGCTAGGCACCATCTCTTGATAAATTTAATAATCATAATTAAATTAAGTCTTTTTACCTCTGTTCTTAATGTTTTATTTTATTTTATTTTTTTTTTTGTTTCCATATTGCCTATTTGGACCTTGTTTATATATAGGCAATATGGAAACAAAAAATAATAATTAACTTAGAAGGTTCTGGAAGAAAAGAATCTGCCTGAAGTGGGACTCAAACCTGCAATTCCTGCATACTGTGAAGTTGTGTTGCCAGTCATGTTACCTGGACCTCCATCTAAACTTCACTTTCAGAACTATTAGCATATCATTTAACAATAAAATAATAAAGAATGAACATTTTTTTTTAACACTGGTGCATTGTCTGATAAAGCAGCTTTAATACAGCTGGATAAAAATGCTAATGAAATAACCTTGCTTAAAAACAGGCCGTGTCATTGGCTTGCTTATCTAGATACATTAGCGAGTCATTTTACTTTGCTAATAGGTTGAAATNCGGAGAAAAAAAAAAAAAAAAAAAAAAAAAAAAAACAAACACAAAAGTGCCCACCAGGGGCCGTATTCTGGTCACTGTCTCTGGTCTCTTGTCTCTCACAAGCCAGTTACTGATTGGCTAATCGTTTGGATTAGCCAATCAGTGACCGGCTTGTGAGAGACAAGAGACCAGAGACGGTGACCAGAATACGGCCCCTGGAATCGCCCCAAAACCACCATCACTTGTCACATTTCAACTAATTAGACACCCTTTCCATAACTCATACCCAAAGGAGACAATGTAAAAAAGAAATTTTAATTCCAACCAACTTGAATGGGACTGGAAGAATAAAAATACACAAATACAGTAGACACTCGTTAATCCGAATGCAGAGGGCCACCGAATTCGGATTAACGAGAGTCTACTGTATTAATAAATTTAGAAGTTAATTTTGAATTTAAACAGCATAACAATTTCATTTTGTAAGTATATTACTCTTAAATATATAAAAATAATAACCTTTAAAAGTAATATCGTTATAAAATAATTAAAAAATGCCAACCTCTTTTAGTAATTACGAACAAAACACGAACCACAATGCTTGATATACAGCGTCCTCTGGTTTTTATATTACGTTTCTGCTATTGTTCTGATGTTTTTTTTTTTCCTATAAAATCGTTAATATTTAATGTTTAGTTATTTAAATTTTATATATTTTTATATGTAAAATAATATTAAATTTTCATTAAAAATTTTCTTTAAAAAAAAAAATGGATAAGATTCGACGGCATGTCGAGTGTCATGGCGCTTTCTTGCCGCTTTGACGAACATAATCCCAATCGGATTTTAAAAAATTTTTATGAGTAACCAAATATATAGTATCTTGAACTTTATCACCCATCCATTGTGGGCCTGGCCGAACACATAACGGGTTTTCTAAAAGAGGCCCTATTAGTGCCCACAGGTCAGCAGGGATGGCCGAGCGGTCAAGATGACAGCCCACCGTTCTGAGGGACCCGGGTTCGAATACGAACGGGTCAAATAATCTCCAGGAATTTTTCGAGGGGGTAATTTCGACCCGTTCGTATTCTAACCCGGATCCCTCAGAGCGGTAGGCTGCTACCATCTGCACGCGGTATCGCTCGTCTCCATTTTTTAAAACAATTCCAAAACTTTAATTGGCTTAAATACATTTTCAATTTGTTTCACCGGATAATAATTGCCTTCGAAATTATGCAAACAACGTTTAAAATACACGATTTCTTAAAAACACTGTCAAAAAAAAAAAAAAAAAAAATATTAAAACAGTAAACAACGACACAAAATGGACTTCCCGATACTACCGCACCTAGTGGCGAACGTCTGAAGTACGACCACATTACGCTATGATTGAAACAAACGAAAAAAAAAATTTAAACACATAAAATAATATAATTATATTATATTATTACTTTTACGTAAATAAAAAGTATTTTATACGTATACTTATAATTATATCTTTAGAAAAAAATAAATCTTGTATATTTCCTAGCGTGTACGCATGTGAGTTTACAAACTGATATAGATTATTTAACAAGATTGGGTCGCTGTAACGTGAGATCATCGAAAAATGGTAAAAAAAAATGCATATGAAATTATAAAAATTATTCTGTTTTAACTTCGAGAACGTATGGCAAAATCTCTTATTTACTTTAATTTTTATAATTTATTTATTTTATGTAAATTATAGAAAGTACTCCATAGAAATAGCTCCAAGAAACGTGGTCTGAGTTCATTTGCTAACACATGTTTTTTTTTTTAATATAAGAAGCATAAACTGAATTACATTTTAATCAAGTTATTACGTAGAATAAATGAGTTTGTGCTTCATGATTTATGTTTTAATTGTAAACAAGTATCATTCAACTAAGAAAATAAAGTGTAATTAACATTATTTATTAAGTTCTAGCATAGAATTTGTAAATAATGTTATACGAGTTCTGTTATAGAATTTTCTGATTCTATACGTATTTCTGTGGCAAGTGTCGAGACGTCGTTACGAGTAAGGTAGTACAGTTGTCCCTCTATAGTCCGACGTTTTTTAATCTGACATGCTCAGTAGTCCGACGCACCTCCCGTCAAGGTACCCGTCCCCGTTACGTGTCTGCTTGCATAGAAGCATGTCGCGATGTGAATCTCCCCATCCAATTTTTACACGATGACACACATTTCGTGTGTTTTATGTGAGCAGTTCTGTTCGAACAGTTGGAGTAGAGAATATTGTAAGTTACTGCTAGCAAAACAATGCGAAATATGTAATTATTTTCGGTAATCTGGACACTTTTGGTAATCTGACACACCTTTGGTCCCATACCTGTCGGATTATCAAGGAACAACTGTACTCGCGTTTTGATTGCAATGTTTGAAAGATACGTAATCAGTTATTTGTGGAAGTATTTGCTATTTATTTTAGATTCCGTATACCGGGGAATGGGCGACCCGCGGCCCGCAAGATACAAATAGACGTATCGATTTCCCGGCTTAAGGAAGAGTGCGGCAAAAATTCGAACGTTATTTTCCACGACTTATGTACGTGAATAGATTTTCCGGCTGCGAATTTAGTAAAAATTAAAACGAGAAAGCGGATAACGGTCTCGCGTCGAAACTGGTTTAAAACTAGCAGTGACTAATATTTAACCAAATATTTCCGATATATTACGTTTACGTCGGGTCCAGAAGCTAAATTAAGTATACCTATGCAAATTTATAATTATATATGGATAAATAATTGTGATTTACCGGTTTTTTTTTTTTTTTTTTTTTTTGGTGTGTGCGGCTCGCATCGGTTCGGATGCGGCCCTTATGTAGAAAAAGGTTGTTCGTCGCTGCTGTATACGGTAGAGTCCTGGAAACTTGACTCTGGATAACTTGACATTCCAAAATCCTTGTGTTCTTCCAAAAAATATATATATGTAATTTAATTTTTACCTCAATAATTTAACACTAGAATCAAATAAGTTATCGTTCTTCTCTGGTGACACTTGATAATAGGATCGGTTCCACGCATTAACAAAGAATATAATCAGTTCTCCAAGTTTCTGCTGCAAAACGTTATGATGTGAATGTCACTAACTCAAAAGTAGCCACTGAATAGCCATTATATTTTTTAAAATTTAACTACAAATAGAAATAATCACTATTGGTACATAGTTAGTACGTATATGAGTTTACACAAATAATACCTTTATGAATATTCTGCTATGTAGACTAGCATTGATGCTATGCCCTAAAGCCTGTCGATTATGATTAAAAAATCTATTTTTTTTTTAGAAATTTAATTTATACGTATAAAAGTCAAAATATGCATGTCTGTATGTTACGTAAAGAATTCTACACCATTCAATGTATCCACACCAAATTTGACATGATATTCTTTGACACTCTAGATAAAAATACTTTGGGGAATTCCCATCTCCAACCACCTCTAAATTCCATTCCTTAAGCTCAGGAAATTTTTTGTTTTGCAGTTTCGTTATTGTAAATACTCAATATACAAGTCAACCCCCCTATAACACTGTTGATTTTTCTGTTTTATATGAATTCCATGTTGTACGAGTCACTTAGATTTTACAAATACGTGAGCCGTGCACAGCCCGGCATACGTATTTGTAAAATCTAAGTGACTCGTACAACATGAAATTCATATAAAACAGAAAAATCAACAGTGTTACAGGGGGGTCAACTGTATGTACATTTTAGTTACTGTTGTTGTTATCATCCTCTTTCATTCCAACCTCACCAATCTCTTACTTCCTCAAAAGCCAAGCAACACCGAACACATGCATTGAGTTTTTAATATATTATTTTGTTGAGTAATGATCTTATATCTTAATAAATGTAATTGTGATATATAATATATATATGTTAATTTTATATTTTATGTAATAAATGTAGAAATTATTCATTATTATATAATGTAATTTTGAAACAGTTTTTGCTGAGGTTGCATTGATAGTTGAATTATGTATCATGTTTCATTTTAATTGAGCAATTTATATAAATATATTTTTTTTTGCAAGGAAAAATTTTTAATGCAAAATATAATTTGCATTATAAATTTATCCTTGAAATATAAATAGTGTCATTTTTCTAAAAGGAAACCTTACTGTCGGTATGCATGTATAGTGACTAATTCTAAAATAAAGTTCTGTTTTAGGAAAAATATAACAGTAATTAAACAGCCATGTTTAATGCTATTAATTAATTATACTATTTTCTTTATAAATGTAATATTGTAGCACAGTCTTTTCAAAATTTTTAATCTCTCTCTCTCTCCCCTATTTGTTGTTACGAATTTAATGTTACTTGCCAAATGATGCCCCTTCAATAACCACATTTTTACCTTTTCTTTTCAAAATATTATCACTATTTTCCATACCTGTAGAGAATGTAGTAAGGACGGACAGTTAGTTACCTGACAGTAGTGTTCATTCATTGAAAGATACGCTTACTTTTTATGTCGGTTTCAATTGGTCTGCGGCATTTGTTGTCGATGATAGAGTGGCCCAGTTTGTTTCATTTGTTTTTATTGTATCAGTCACCAGACTTCTTGCCTGAGCATATGAAATTTCTCTTACGGAGCTAGTACTACAAACTTAAAAGTACTTTTATGCTATCTTCTGGTACAACTTATTGGCACGTTTTGGCTAACAAATGGTTCTAATATAAAAAATAAATGTAAAACTATTATTTACCTGAAATTCAATACAATTGCAAATAATGTTTGATATTATAATGAGTTATTTTAATTACTATATTTAATTGCTTCGTGGATTTAAATCATTTTTCTGTTTTAAAATGTTAAGATTATGAGTCAAGAAGAGCATATCAAACTAAAGTAAAAATGTTTTCTTGAAGTTTAAAATCTTTAAAAACGTCAAACAGAGAAACTTTGGAAACATCTAAATATAAGCATTGTTTGCTTAAAATCACTAAAGCATCAGATGTTCTAGTTTAAAAAGTTTAATGTTGATATATTAAACTAGAAGATATGATGTTTTAGTGATTTTAAACAATGCTTATCTCACTTTATTGACATCAGCTGGCTAATGTCAATAAAGTCCAAGTTCATTCCTATTTGTCTCCAACATTTTTCCTGTATGATAAGTTCGTTAAAAAAGCGACATTATAAGCTTTAAATCCTTTAAGAAGAATTACATTATTTGATGATTATATTTCTATATTCAGATGTTTTTAATGTTTTTAAACCTTCCAAGAAAGCAGTTTTATTTAAGTTTATAGAAAGATTACTAGGAAAGTTTTGTGATGATCTGGTATAAAATTTGTTAGATTAAAGTTGGCAATAGCACTCTTATCTATTGTTTGATAGACAACAATTCTTAATCTTAATTATAATTGTTTTCTAGTAATTCATTTAAACAGGTAACAAAATGTTGAAATTAATTCATTGTATAGTTTCAAATGTGATTTAACTGTAGAAGAGTGTGTATTAAAAATTAAAAATATGTTTTGTGATATTTGTACAAGTCAAGCAATTATCTTTTGAAGGTATAAACAATTTGAAAGAGGAGAGTTTAACTTAGATGATGATTCACAATGCTAAAGTCCAGTGGAAGTATTTATTAAAGAAAAGATCACTGCAGTTCAAAAATGACTGGAGAATAACTACAGAATTATATACAGAGGCAATATTAAAACCAGCATGAGCATTTGCAAGCAAGGAAAGCTTGTATATTCTGTATCCCATGCTGACTATCAGATAAATAGTGATAAAAGAGTAAAATGAAGCAATGAAAAGATATAAAGATGAGTGATCAAAAGTGATCAATTTTATCACTTTAGGATGAGACGTGGTGGTATTACAATGTTCTGTTGAAATCATTTAAAAAATTATGGCTCATAGGAAATTAAGAAACACTGACAACAGTGAAGCCGTTTTGGTCAGATGAAAGATGATTGTAGATTGTTTTAGAAAATAAGGAATTATATAACAGATAGTACTGAAAGAATAAGAACTTTTTGTTCTTTGAATACTGTCTGTACTCTGTTCTGCTTTTCTGTGTTTACAAAATGACAGTCTAAAGTAGGGGTCCCCAAACTTTTTATCCAGTCGACCCCTTTATAGAATATTTGCCTTTTTATCGACCCCCAGATTAAATATTTAACAAAAACATTAAATTATTTTTGTATTTCTGATGTTAAGCGATAAGGAGACCTGCATAACAACCCAACAAAAGAATTTATAGTTCTCACATCTTATAAAATCCACCCAATAACATTAACAGAAAAAAGTGATATTTTCCACTGATTTATAATCTTAAAAAATAATAGCAAAATTATGGATAGATAGAAATTTGCTTATAGTTCTTAAACCATACGTGTCATAATATTTAAAACATACAATTATCTTTGAAAACATAACATAAGTTATATTGGTTGAAAAAAACCTCTTGCTGTCATTTTGAGACTACTACTGAATGCATATTAGTGGGATGGATGTGTCTGAAGAGAAGCAGCAAGATTATTGATATTCGGTTGAAAACTTACCAATTTTCAACCAAAGCAAATCACCACGGTTTTCCAAGTTCAATCTGTTCCTTTGTTTTGTCAAAATTGCATTCGCATAGCTAAAATCAGCTTCAGCCATGTATGAAGTTGGGAATGCAAGTAAGAAAGGTTCAGCTTCTGCTCTGAGCTTAAGATGGCAATATTGTTATTGCTCTAAAATTCACTGAGGTTTTTATTTTTAAACAACACTTTAGTTTCGAGATCTACACATATTTCACTCAGTTCATCTTCTAAGCCAGGTTCACTACCTTCATTATCTATTTTTACATCAAATGGATTAGCAAACCATTCGGGAACATGCATATTCTCCAAGTCTTCGAAACGTGCTTTAAAATCTTCTCTTAATTTATCACGATGTTTAATATATATCTCCAAATCACGGTCGGAAATCTTTTCATTTTCTTTTAGTACTCGCAAGTTTGAAAAATATTTAAAATCGGATCGTGCCAGTGAAGATTTAAATAGCTCCATTTTTACTTGAAAGGCCATTATGATTGTTCGAGCTTGAACAATTGTAACGTTTTTTTCCTCGCAAACGCTTATGTACTTAACAAACGCTTAATGATTTTCGATATATTACGATATTTTCTCTGTAAAGGACAAAATATCTACATTTAGATATAAAATACTTAGAGTGACAACCCTACTAGAGTGTAACAGTGCAACGTATGTCTGTGTATAATGAACTACCAGCGTTCATAACATGTTTGCAACACTAGTACAGTTGCCAGATGCGTGAAAACAGAGTAACACATGCTTAAAGCGGCGTAGGCTAAGGCAAAACTCAAGTTATAACTAGGGTAGTCAGTAATGTTGTTGATCATATCCGTATTTCGAATTTTTATTGGAATATTCTATTTTTTTCCTAGACAATTTAATTGATCCTCTTTGGTATTAATCGACCCCCTTTCGACCCTCGTGTATTAATCGACCCCTGAAGAACTGTTATCGACCACTTTGGGGACCCCTAGTCTAAAGTTTACTTGTCAAAACATCAATTTATTAAAGGAGCTTCATCCTTGTTTACAATTGGATACATGGCATCTTCACCGTGTAGTAGTTACGCTCTTCCATATCAAACTTGAGCTAACGTTTGCAAAATTTGGGCCTACTATTTTAAACTACGTAAATTTTTTGTGGTTACTATTTGAGGGCATTTGTTGTTCAAATAAAACCAGTATCTCTTGTCGAACATTCGCATTACCTTTTCCTTGTGACGTTAGTCTCTTTCTACTTATAAAAATACATATAAATATTTATGTTTAAATCCATACAATATGAAAAAAAAAGAAAATGAAACTTTTCACTAATGATGTTTAAAATTTTACAAAGTATGAATTATATTTAGATGTGTTTTTATTAGATAATTATTATCTTAAAGATTGCTGGTTAAAAGTGGGTCAGATAATTAAAACGGTGTTTATCAGAAAGGGATAGTATTTAGTTCAATAACATAACCGTTTCAAACAATGATAAATTTTATTAATGAATTTTCGTATCAATACTGTTAATATTTTTTCATTTAATATACATTCTTCGCATGAATTTTAATTTATAGAAAATTCCATTTTATTTTTTCAAGATAACGCACACCGTAATAGATAAAAGTAAAATATGATTGTTTACTTTTTCAGATATGAGAAATGGAAAATATAATGAAATTTTTAAAATGAAAAGTGTTTATTGAATGGGATTTTCAATTAAATTCAAATTATCATAATCAAATATGATTTCTCTCCAATTTTATTCTTATATATTCTTGTTTTAGCAATTTGATAGCGAACAGAACATATATTTTTTTTTTTTTTTTTTTGTAAAATTCTACACGATATATTAAAAAATAACAATTAAAAAAATCCTTCGGCAAAATTAGAATTAATCTATATAAATTTATCTGCAAGTATTTCTTACATAAATCTCAGATTTATAGTCAAGTATGTTATGACGTGGTTTCTTAAATTATTGATTTGATTGGCTTTAAGAGATTACAATTTAATGCGGAGAAGATTAAAAGATTAAATGATATGATAACTTGTTTTGAGATGTTCTCTATCAGAACAAATTTAATAACATTAAAGTAAGATGAATTTATTTATTAAAAAAACTTTTAAATAAATTTAAAAAAGTATTTTCTGTATAAAAATTTAAATTTAAAAAAGTATTTTCTGTATAAAATTAGTTTTCTTAAACTACAGATAACCCCGTATAACACGGCACTTCTATAGCACGGATTCACTCTAACACGGTTCGAGAATTGGGAACATCCAAGTATAACACAGTGCTTTTATAGCACGGGTTCACTTTAATACGGTTTGGAAATTGGGTAAAACCCTCGTACAACATGAAATGTAATAAAGGGTGCGATCTTTTATATCTCCACGTAACTCTGCGCGAGCATTCTAATTGTTTTCGTGGCTACTTTGAATGCTCTTTCAACAAATGATCCATTTAATGGTTAAATTTTACAATTGGTACTCTTCTTTTGCCTCTAAAAGCTCATTTTTGAATTATAGATTCCTCTATCACGATACTATCGATAGTGCGGGCGCCGCCATCTTTTTTCACCGTCGTTGCTAAATGCCTACAAACAGCAGCGCACTCCCATTGCAGAGCGACCGCTATTAATGAACACACTCCAAAAACTGTTACCAGTTGATGATGCTCATGCTGAGATCATCATATAGGATGAATAAAAAAATGGTCTGGTAAAATATTTATTTAAATAATAAATAAGTGTTTTACCTGTGAAAAAAATGAATAATAAATCCAATTTAAATAAGGATTTAACAGCGTGTTTTTTAATTTTTGGAACCTAACCCCCTCTTTTTGCACTAGTTCTTTATTTTGTATAACACGGCAATTTTTTGGAACATAACTCCCATGTTATACGGAGGTTACCTGTACTTTTGAATGATATAAATAATTTTTAATATTTTTTTTAATAGAGTTTTTTTGGATTTGGCCAAACTGCTGATATAGACATTGTGCTGGATGGCACAGATTCTCGGAAAATGGCAGAAATAAAGACGGAAGATGGAAAGAAAGAGAAAAATTATTTATATTACGATGGCGAATCTGTAACTGGAAAAGTAAGTGTATTTATTAAATAGTTTAATTTATGATTAAAACTACATATTAAGAAAATTAACAGCACGAATATATAATAACAACTCCTCCTAACCCAAATTTAATTAATTAATTTGATTAGAGGCAGGCAGATATGCTGCTATCTTGTATTAATAATTATAACAAATTAATTTATAATTTAGAAAATTCTGGAAGAAAAGAATTGGGCTGGAGCAGGACTCAAACCACAACTTCTGCATGCTGTGCAGAAGTTTACACACAATCCACGACTCACTTCGATCTCGATTTACCTACAATCTACATTATAACTGTCGCCGGTCGAACATTGTGCTGTTCGCACAGGCAGTCCGCTCAAGAAAAACCCGACTATTACACTCGATGATAAAACTGACATAACTACACGGTTAGTCACGAACACCAACAAACAAAATGGAAGTTTTGGTTAGAAATAAATAGTTTTTCTTGTCATATATCTAATAATAGACAGATGTCATCGTCTCTCCCGATGTCTTTTTTATTTCTCTGTCGATAGCCCGACACGTGTTTCACAGCCATCTTGTATTTTCTCACATGCGTGGGATTGTGGGATCTCTCTTATGACTGGATCTAGTTTCAAGAACTGTCTTGAGTCAATCGCGATTGAACCTCATTTCACTCGAGAGAGGTTGCACTACGGCACAGTCGCCGACCTTAGTCACAATCTAGATCGAAATGCTCGGGGCGAAGGGGGTATTACACTACCCAGACCACCGTCCTATCTTCACTTCCAGATCTGTTTATTATAATTATTAAAATTAATACAAGATAGCAGCAAATCAACCTATCTCTATTCAAATTAATGAATAACTAATTATTAATGTATCCCAAAAATTGTAGCTCAATAATTCTGCAGATTGTTTGGCATTAATAACACCATGAATATTGATTTAGTTTTTTAGCCAAAGAAATATATAATAGATTAAAATAATAAAAGTATATTAAAGTTTTTTTCAGAATTTCAAACTTTATCTTCCTCTAATATCATTTATAATTGAAATTAGTATGTAAATTTTAATAGAAAAGATATTTTATTAATATATAATTAAAATGAATATTTGAATTTTTCAGGTAAATATAACATTAAAAAAACCTGGCCTGAAATTAGAGCATCAGGGCATTAAAATAGAATTTATTGGTCAAATAGGTAAGTTCAAAAATTATTTTAATATTTATTTTATAAAAAAAAAACACAAAGTAAAACAAATTAAATTGGATAGTAATTTTATTTGGAAGCAAAAATAATTACTACGATAATATTTCTTCGGGTAATTACTGCGAAACTAATTTAATCTCTTGTTTATTTTCATGGTTAACTATTAATTGAAAATGTTTAAAAATTTATCAGTTGCATTTACAGTAAAATAGAGAATTTAAAAAGATATTTTATTATTTATACTTTTTAAAATCTTTTTATACAAAGTTAGTTGTAAACGCAATTATGTGTGATTAACTGAGAATATTTAAAATTTTATGTTCGTAGTATCTTTTATGATTAGGAATTTGTATTAATGGACTTTACATTGATAATAAACTTAGAAAAATAAATATTTTTCTAAGTTAATAGACTGTCATGATGACTGATATTTATATTCACAGTCCACGATCAAGAGTCAGAAACAGAAGTTAGTCAGTAAATATTTGTGTACATAAAACAAAATTAATACTTATTAATTAACTTCTTACACTGACTTTTTGTTCGTGGATAGTGAATACAGATATATATTCTTTTCTCAATATGACTGTTTTAATAAACTTTTTAAACTATGGTTTCAATCCTGAAAACATTTGTGATGTGTAGTCTACTTTTCATTGAATATTGATTAACTTTGCTTAAAAGATTGAAACTATGTAGGCTGTTTTTTTTTTCAAGCTCCGATGGTCCAAAAAAAGAACAAGTGTAAATAACAAAATGAATTTATTACCAAAGGTTAGGTACAAACATGGTTACTTTTCGACATAATCACCGTGAAGATAGAGGAATTTGTCATATCTGTGGACAAGCTTTTTAATCCCCTTATCACAGAATGTTACCGCCAATGAATTGAGATGGCCTTAACAACATTGTTTTGAAGATCGTCATTAGTCTCGAACCTCTGCCCTCCTAGCCACGTTTTCAGTTCAGGAAAGAGGTGCAAGTCTTCACCATCTTTAAACATCCAGCGTATAGTCCCGATTTAGTACCGAGCAACTTCCACCTCTTTCCTGAACAGAAAAAGTGGCTAGGAGGGCAGAGGTTCAAGACTAATGACGATCTTCAAAACAATGTTAGTGCCCAACTCAAGTCATTGATGGCAACATTCTATGACAAGGGGATGGAAAAGCTCGTCCACTTTCATTTAATTAGTGATAAAATAATAATTTTCAAACTAAGATAAAATATAAATTTGCAACAAAGTTGAAAAGAAATCGTTCTTATGATTTTAAAATGATCATTAATATTAAATAGAATCAAAAATTGAATTTATAAGACAAAAGATGTTCTAAATATAGATTATCCTTAACCAGAAAACTATTAAACAAATTTAATTCAAAAATATTAATGAATATGTTGCGCTACTAAATAATTTTATTAATTATGTGAAAGGAAACTTTTTTAAGTAAACTAAAAATTGTAATCATAAATATTAATAATTGAATAAATTAAATATAAAATTTAACATGTAATACATTTATGCCTTGCTTAATTTTCACGTAGTAGACGATAATTCAAGCTCAATTGAAGCTTGATATAATATTATCATGTCAGAGTATTGTGTAACAAAGTTTGAAATTTGTAAAAATTTAAAAACAAAAGAATGAAATATATTTTGAAATGATAACAGATATAAGACAAATGAAAATCAAATTTGCTGTCTTCTTACATCCTTTCTAACCACAGGAATACAATTAATACTGGCAGAGTCAACTTTCTTTTGCTCTGCCAGTGTTAGGGTGCGACTATGCAGACACGAGCGAGAATATGTGGCGAGAAGAGGCGAGACGCGATAAATATCAAAACCTGTCAGATATGTGCGAGAATCAGAAATTCGCTCTCGCCAGCATTATTTCTCGCTTCTCATTTGTGCATGGTTTTCCTTTGCAAAAACTAAATCGCTCTAAATTCGCGTCTGCATAGTCGCACCCTTAATTCAGGTTCTTCCCTTTTTATGATTTTGTAAATTGGTTAAAAGTCCTGTTAGTGTTTATCGTGTTCTTGTAGCTGAAAGGACGTAAGAAGATAGAAAATTTTATTATTATTTAGTCTTTCAGTCTTTAGGACTGTCTATTATAAATGCTTCAAGTTATCACATTTTTTTTAAGCTATAGAATTCAACAATTTTCACAAAGTTTAATTACAAAATATGTTAATTTTAACAATTATTTAAGCATAATTTGAATCATTTCATTATTATATTCTAAAAATATAAAGCTATTTCAATGCATTTAATATTTTTCAAAAATATATTAGTTTGTTGGCCTACATTTATCTGACAAGCAGATGTATGTGGTTAGCTAATGCATTTTTAATGATGCTTTATTGTGATTATGTCGAAACATGAAATAAATCATGGAAATTGTTAAGTATGAAACTGCAATACATAAAAGTAATTTTATTGTCAATTATTAAAAAGTTGTATAATCCTAAATTTACTTTTTTTAGAAGACAATAAAATGCTTGTTTTTAACATGCTGAAGGATGTTTAGATTATCCAGTTATTTAGATATTATTTCAATGAATTAATGAATGCTTTATAACACTCCTTATCAAATATTCATTCATTTCAATAAAATTTTTAATATAATTAAGGAATATCTTTTATTCATTGAAAATGTTATAGTCTGTAGAAATGATTTCAACTTAAATATCTTTAAAGTTGTACTGATAGAAAATTCATCTAAATAGATAGTCGAGAAAAATTTGCAGACATTGGGTTCTTTATTTGAATTATATATCATATTATATAATAAGAAAACAAAATTTTTGAACTTGTATTTAAGTTTATATGTAAAATTATATAAAAGAAACTAGCCAAAGCATTTAATATTGCTCAGAGAACTATAATGAAGATGCCATAAAGTGATAAATTTTCGTTATGGCTAGATAATGGCATGTAATTTACATTGCATGTGGAAAGATATACAGGATATACAGTCGACCCCCCCTGTAATATGGTAGATACGTTCCACTTTATAAGAATTTCACGTTGTAGGAATCCTTAAATATATGAGCCAATCACAGCCCGGCATGTGTGCAGTTTATGGACTACAGCTGTTTGAAAGGTTTTCCTCCATAAAATTAATCGATTCTAGACTAATTTGACTCAACATTTCCAAAACACGTATAATTTTTTGGGAATAATCCGTATAAACTATGCTATAAACAAAAAATTGTAGGATTACTTGCCGAGTGTGCACCGTTCAACGACACCATTGCTTAATTAAGCTTGTTTTCGTCGCGGAGCAGTGCACCAAACGGCGGGCGCATTTTCTGATAAGTTATTTTTCTGCGAAAAATTTGTTGAACTTTGGAGACATCATTAATAGAAATAATTTTTATGGCCGTTGAATAAGAAATGTTTTTTTCACAAGAAATGTATAAAATTACAGTACTGTATTAGACTTACGGTACCTAATTTACATACTGTACAGACGATAGTAAACTCAACTTACCCGCCTAAACTCTCCATAGTGTGTAAGTAGTTTGGCTGCTTGTCCACTATTGGTCCAGATTCGACCAATCCTGTTGCGACATGAGTCGGTGATGACGTTTTACCGCATTTTATGAGTCTCTGTTAGCATATTTATACGAATATGGTCGCAATTTTTTCACCGCGATATACGAATCCGCATTATATGAACCCGCGTTATAGAGGGTCGACTGTAATTATATATTGGATGGTTATAAGTTATAACATTACCATATTTACACATGTATAGGTTGCACTTTTTTATCCTAAATTTTTTGTCTAACATTAGGATGTGGCTTATACTTGAGATAATGAATAATTTTAAAGCAATTTATTATCATTAATTGTCTTTACAAACCTTAGGACTTGTAGTAAGATTATTTGGAGGTTTTAGGCCACCAGGCATGAGAAGTAAGAAGAAGAAAAAGGAGCTGTTTGAGGCTCTAACTAAGCAATAATGCTACAGAACTATAAATATAATCAATGTCTTCACTTGAAACTTCACTGTCACTACCAGTGACACTTGAGTTGTTCTCTGAACTGTCCATCGCATTGGAAATGGACATGACTTTGAAATTTTTGGACACCATTTCTTCTAGTATTAGTTTCCATGAAGCCACAATCCGTTCACACATCTGAGAAGGAACAGTTTTCTTAACCTTCAGGTCGGTGTTATCTCTGTTGCAGTGCACCTCCAATCATGATAGAAATGTCATACTTTAAAAGGACAGTTAATGGATATATCAACATTCCAGTCATCCCTCCTGGTATCACAACCATGCTACTTTTCTTTATCTTTATCATCTTTTTCGTCAACAGTGCACCTGGGTGTCAAAACCAAACTGACTTCAGCCTATCCATGTAGATATGTTCTGTAATCCAGCCTTGACCTTGAATGTGTACAACTATTCCAGGCATTAGTGTTTCTTTCAGCAGGGTTTTACTCTTAAAAATGACGTAAGGTGGTAGCTTGGTTCCATCAGCTGTGATGCACAGCATTTTACAGTACAACATTGCTTTTCTGCTCCCACTGTTTGCACCAGAATTGTTTTTTACCTGCCTGATTGACTGATTGTCAGTTGGCATATCAAAGAAGACAGGAGTTTTGTCAGCCTTGCCTATTATTGCCCTTAAGTGGTAGCCTTGTTTCTTTCTTAAGCTAAAGACATGTTTCTGAAATGCAAGCAGTTTCTCTTTGTAGGTGTCAAGAAGTCACTGCGCCAACTCTGCAGTGACTTCCAAATCACAAGCTCATGTCATGCCATAAAACATCTTGCCCAGCCGTAATTTCCCTTAAATTCACTTTTGAAAATTTCATATTTTGAGCAATCCTTTGGGCTTTGAACTGAATCGTTTTAATAGATACAGAAAAGCCATTTGACCAAATTTCACAGATATATCTAAACAGATCTGCTTTCAAGNGTTATATTTTTATTACTACGTAAAATATATTTAAGAGTTTACGACCACTGTGCTGGGTGAGACGTTGTTGAAACAAAAAAAGTTATGCATTCCATCACATACATAAAGTGTCATAATTCGCCAAGTGCAAATCAGCATATTCGTAAAATTTTTGTTTATTTTGAACAATCCGGATAATAGAGGTCCGGATATTCGAGGTTCTACTGTATATCTAAACAGATCTGCTTCCAAGTTGGGATATTTCTCTGTCTTTCTGTGAAACGATTGCCGATTTTGCGGTGTTTTCTCAAGAGCATCCTTTGTTTGAATCTATTGCCACACATTTTTTTCGTCTACATCAAACTTCTTTCCTGCTGCTCAATTTCCATTTTCTTCTGTATAATGCACCACTTTGTAATTTGAGCTTTGCTATGTAACTCACTCTCTCTCAACCCATGTTTAACACACACTGAACAAACACTTAACAATAAGCATAAGGTGACCAGATTTTAACGTTGGTGAAGCGGGACAAAATTGATGGGGGGAGTGGTTGTCTTGTTGAAAAAATTTTTCTAGAACAATCAAATTTTATTATCAAAGAACACAAAAATTGTATTGTATTATATATTTTTAAATTTCAACATATGTAAAATTTACAAATATAATAAATGTATATACTGATTGACTAATATAAATCTTTAAAATTGCGATAAAATACCTATGACAAACTATATTTTAACAATTGTATTACTTTTCCCCTGAATATGCCTTGAATGTCACTTTATTATTGTACTTTTTTTATTATATAATATTGTCGTATCCAAAATAAACCCCAGCCCCACTGCTAGCAATAGAACGATGCAAACTGATGTGCTTACTCTCGCTAGTTGCTAGCTTTCTAAGGTGGCTACAGATGAGAGCTCTGCGCCATGTAACATGCAACGAACAAAATGTTCGCTCATTTGGACATCCTGTGAACACGCGCTGCTCCGTTGCTGCAGCTGTGCGTCCCGAACCATTTTCTGTTGGTCTTTGCAACAAACACAACGGGTTTTGTCGGTGCAGCATTCTTCATTTCCAGTGCTCACGCACATCTTGGTACTGGTATGTGTGATACAAAATGATCTTTACGAATCTTAAACATAAGACATAAGTTTATGACACATAATTGACAAAAACTTAATCTTTCCAAAACTCGGGACTTTTTTAAACACTGTGGGACACAGGACAAATTGTTAAAAATTGGGACTGTCCCGCCAAAAGCAGGACATCTGGTCACCTTAATTAAGCATTAACCATCACTTCATCCCTGAAATTTGCAATGTTACCATATTTCTGTATATCCATGTCTCTACTCTTGTTCCTGTGGAATTCTAAGCTTTTTTTTTTCCAAATATATCGTTTTACAAACGGTGCAGCTTATACACACATGTGGCCTATATGCATGTAAATACGGTAAATGTGAATGGTCTATCATAAAATTTCAAGAATATACAGTACAGTCAACAAAAAATTATTGGCATACCACAAATTTTTCATTTTTAATAGACAAAAAAGCACTGTTTAAAACTTAGAATATCGTTAGTGGTATACAATATATATGTTTATATACATTTATCTTTATTTTAAAATAAATACAATTTTAAAAAATTACAAAACAAAATACGGTAGAGTATCGATTATCCGAATGTCGATCAACCGAAATGTCAGTTAACCGAAAGCTTTCCAGTCGGCAAATTTAAATTTTCGCTAGTGCTGTGGCACTGCAATCTTTGGCTACGTCTTGGGCAGCTCCAATATTATTTTTGTTGGTGCGCGTCTTTTAGCTGGCAGCACTGGCGCAACCACGAGAGGGTACTTAAGAATGTGCCGGGATCTGAACGAATTTCAACACGGGATAGATTAATATATTTTCTCGTACATAATCGGTTATCAGAAAAATCAATTTTCTGAACAACCCCAGTACCCGATTGATTCGGATAATTGATGCTGTACTGTACCATTGGAAATTATGCAAATAAATTATTGGCGCAGTACCGATTTCTTAATTTTTGTCCCATGCAAAAATAAAACTGCAATTATTTGCATTAACAATGGAAGATGCAGGACTGTTAAAAGGTTATTTATAATTTCAAGTCTCTCTCGTTTCACATTGTTCCAAATAAATGGCATTAGAAACAGTGTCATTAGACAATTTAAACGTGGCACATCTTTTGATAAAATTGTGTGACAATGCCGAAGGGCCTCCCTATACTTCAGCACCATGTGACCGAAAGGTCGACATCGTGTTGGCGAAGATCGCAATGACAAGTTTCGTCAGGACTGACACCACTGTGTCTTCACGACTAGACACAGAAACTGTTTCGTTCGGGCGTGAGTGGTCGCGTATGTGAGCGATCAGAGTCGAGATAGAAGGAGAGACAGCGCACCGGAAGTGACCTACTCATAGACATTTTAACGTAACAACTGTTTAATGGTTAATGATAGGGTTGCTGTTAGATACATTTCTCGATTTGATAAGTATTAGATATTACATTTTTCCCCGATTTGAGAGAGAGAATTTACAGAAGTTTGCATGGCGATAATTACCTTGTATGAAATCACAAAAGAAGACACTTCTGGATGACAGTTCTTATTTCCACAATTAGGCGAGGAGTGTAAAAGTTGACAGTTATCGAATGAAAGTATAGCTACAATGTGAAATGATATAAACACACGAAAAGTCCGAATTTGGATCCTCACATCTGCTAAAGCTCTTGGAATGATCATAGCACAGTGGCGTAGCGTGGTGGGGGCGGCACTTTTTAGGGGGCAGGAAAATGACCTTTTAGGGGGTGGCAAAATTTCACAATAAATAATAATAATAGCTTGTAAAAATTTGAACCATTCTAATCTATATTTGCATCGCGCCTATGATAGTGCTATCGTTTGGGAATCGGCTCACCGTCCGGGTAATTTCATCCGAGGATATCCAGCGCAACCTGTTGACCTTTTTTTTTTTTCTTGTACAATTCATTTGCATTCATATACACCACCACTATTCAATAGAGCTATTTTAAACAAGTTGCTGCACTATCACGGAATTTTTCATTGCTTGTTCTGTGACAAAACTGAATTTTAGTCTTTTAAATTGAAATACCTAAATAAGGGGGCGAAATTTTCCTCCACCCTGGGCGGCTGACACCCACGCTATGCCACTGTCATAGCATTGCATATCGTGAGCTATTTCCTACGCACTGTATTTGTTAATTTTTAAATATGTAAACATTCTATTTTGTATTCTATATTAGCAGAGTTCTAGATTGCCTGGAAGGTTTTTAAAAATGACCAAAAATGTTCGTATGTAATAAAATTAGTTTACTGGACAAATTAATTCACAATTTTTTAATGTAATAAGTATCCAGTTTTTCATATATTGTGTATACTTACTTTTAAACACAATTAATCTGGATTACACACACAAAAATATGGTAGGTAAATGTAAAAATCACATTTATTCGTTATTTTTAATTCGGTTTTATATAAATTGTTTTTAAACAGTCATATGATACTTAAAAACAATGTTAATATATTAAGTATAATAAATACTTATTTTCATTGCTAGAACTGTATTATGATCGAGGAAATCATCATGAATTCACATCTTTGGTTAAAGATCTCTGTAGACCTGGAGAATTGAGTCAGAATACAAGCTACACATTTGAATTCGTGAATGTAGAGAAACCATTTGAATCGTATACCGGAGCCAACGTAAAACTAAAGTAGGTAACTAAAGCGTATTATTTTTGTATAAAATTATATACTTAATGCTTTTTACCGTCGTATTAAAATGTTCTACTGTATCTTAAATAATTAACTTATGAAATGTTAAAATTATTTTTAGTTCTAAATATATGTAACTTCGTTGTTAGATTGATTCCATTTGCTTCTTTATTTTTCTAAGCTGAAACATTAGATACATAAGTTACAACCATTATGGGGTTGTCGGTAAACAAAAAGTCCAACTCTGGCAAATTTGCGATGTGCGACTCCGACCTTGTCCTTTTTTAAAACGTCACATTGCAATTCCTTTTATAATAAAGATACCACTAGGTATCCAAATATTTTTATCTAAAGTTTCTGCATAAAAAGTCGTATTAAAAGTGATGGTGAGAATCAAAAATTGGATATAACGAATTTACTTTGGAGAAACTGTCGCACACGTAAAGAATCGCACTGTATCTTAATAGCCAAGAGAATTGCAATTGCTATATTCGACTTGTGTATCTATTTTCCTGTACACTGTATTGCTATTGCCACTTTTTGAAGTTGATATGTGTGTTGTAATTGGGACTGTGGATAGAATTTAGAGTCTGATTCTGACTTCTGTCTCCAAATAATACGTTACTTTGATTATATTAATCCAGAATGGCATTTTATCACTACCAAGTGAATCATCAGGATACGTTTTAAGCATTTTTTTAAAGTGAATCATCAAGCATTTCTATTGAGACTACAAAACTACTTTTTCTGCAGTATTTTTCATTATCTTCATCTTCAACTACACACGACATACAAAATTTTTTCCATCTTTGGTTATAATAAAGTATTCAAAAAAACACTAATTTAACATTAGTTTTCTTAGACATTTTGTAAAGGTCTTTTCATAATTAAAACATAGAATTAGCTAACTTGGAATGTATACAAATACGAATTTCTTAAGAGAGAATCATCTGATATGCAAAGAAAGATCCTGAGGTAGGGAGAATCATCATAAAATAAGATCTTGTCTATACCGCAAGATAGGAGTCCTATTAAAAGCTTAATATATAGTACAGTCGACCCCCTATCACACTGTTGATAATTCCGTTTTATATGAATTCCATGTTGTACGAGTCACTTAAATTTTACAAATATGTGTGCTGAGCTGTGAACAGCTCACGTATTTGTAAAATCTAAGTGACTCGTACAACATGGAATTCATATAAAACGGAATTATCAACAATGTTATAGGGGGGTCGACTGTATTTAGTAAAAGAGCAAGGAATGTCACATTAATGCTTCACAAAACATAATTTTTAAAATCACCGAAGAGGCAGTTCAATGTAGTAAATTTGAGCATCCTGACAACAGGATCATCAAAGTATTTGGCTGCAGGAACTGGCAAAAGGTCTGAAAAAGGAATAAAATAATGGTAATTTCAGTAATTAGTCACTTTAAGGGAAAAAGTTTCTCTTTATACGAAAGTATGGGAAGTTGAAATTTGTCTTCCTATAAGTCGTTTCTATTGGCTACATGTTTTTGGATATACTATTATAGGATTTTGTACCCAGATACTGTAAAAACTATTTTTGTATTGGATTAGCCTTGGATGTTCTATGATTCTACTTTGATTTTATGAATAGGAAATTGACATTTTTTCATGTGTCTATTGTCAACAAACGTGTTCCATTGCTTTTTGTGTTACTTCAATAACTTAAAACTGTGATGGTCTGGATCTAGAAGGCTGCAAAAGTTCAACCCAGTCTTTGGTTACTTCCGTGTAGATCTTTAAATTTGCAAGTCCCACGTTCTTGTCACATTCTAAATAAGAATAACCTCTTTCAAGAAGACTTACTTTCATTGATTAGAAAAATTTTTGAGTAATATACAATGAATAAAGTAAAACATAGAATAATTCTTACCTCTGTCCACCTTGCTGAATCACAAAATATATGAAGATACTTTGCTTTGATATCCATAAAATTCGTAATAAAATAAGAATGACAGCACTTCATTAGATCCTTTTTTTTTTTTGCTATGATTTGAAGTTAAGTGTAACCTTGCTCTTAGAAATTGTGAATTGATTGAAATGCTTTAAAACGTACCTTAATTTCCCCTGCTACAGCACTCTGTTTACTCTAATTTTGTAAGTGAAGAGAGTATTATAGAATTTGTATCTTCCTCATTGTATTGTTATGACTTTGCCTCTCTGAACTGGTATTATTTGTTATCAATCCAGCTAAATTTGCATCTACCTAACTATTTGTCATGTTAAAATGGATTTTCTCCCAGTTAAAATGGATTTTCTCCCATACTAATCCTATCTAACCTTCTCACCAAAATGTTAAATTCATTTAATTATTGGACCATTCCAGTTTTCACCCATTACTCAAGTCCATATTTACCTATCAGATGGGGAGCCCACCAGTGGCCGAACAGTCTTCGTACCCTGAACACCGGGAGTTCGGTCATGGGTTCACGCCTCGCTCGGACGGGCTGGCCATGTAGCATTTCTGCGTTTTCTCCACGTCTGTAACGCCTAAATAGGGGCCAGTTTCCCTTAAAAAGACTCCCGGAAGGCATCCCTTAGGCAGATCGCCCAAGTGTTGTGTTGCCATAACTGAAAAAAAAAAAACCCAAACCTATCAGATGATATATCTTGATATATTAAAAAATGTGACATTTCTTGTATTTCCCTTTATCTTTTACTTGAAATGTTCTCTCCATTTTATAATTATTTTTATTTAATTTCATTAAAATACTCATCTGCGAGGGATTGGAATGAAAAACTGATCCGTGAATTCAAAATTCGAGAAGTACCGGATTAAAAAATAAACTCGTAGTGGTCTTTACGAGGTTTTCGTGCGTCGATGATGATGATGTTATGTTTCATCTGTTAGCAATTAAATTCTATTATAACTTTTCAGGTGCGAAATCTTCAAATTTTATCTTAAAATTAAATAAAGATTTATATTACAATACATAATCTTCAGATACTTTCTCCGAGTGACCATCCTGCGAAGGCTATCTGATATTATTAGAGAGATGGATCTCATTGTACATACCCTATCCTCATATCCGGAGATGAATTCCTCTATCAAAATGGAAGTGGGTATTGAAGACTGTTTGCATATTGAATTTGAATATAACAAATCCAAGTGAGTCTTTTAAAATGTAAAGTTTCGGAGAAGCGAGTACAATTATTTAAAATCGAATATTTTATAGATATCATCTAAAAGATGTTATTGTTGGGAAAATATATTTTCTTCTCGTCAGAATTAAAATCAAACATATGGAAATTGCTATAATTAAGAGAGAGACGACTGGTTCGGGGCCCAATACTTTCAACGAAAGCGAAACAATTACAAAATACGAAATCATGGATGGAGCTCCAGTTAGAGGTATATATTTTACTATTATAAAGGTGTTCACCTCAAACCTATCTAGTTTTATGGATTAATTTTGAGCAAAGAAATGCAAATATAGTAATGTAAACAATGATAATAGAAAGTGCATCTGGTAAAGTTAGTTACTGCATTAAATCAGTACATTATAATACAATATCACTTGATCAAAATCAAGTAATATTGTATTATATTGTGCACGACTCCTGGCTTGAGCATGGCCAGGTCAGCACGTTAGGAGTCAGGCTGTTAAAACTAGAGAGGTTCGGGAGGAACATCCAGTATTATATAATGATCAAATACTACTATTTTTTAAAACTTCTACATTCATTTCAGGAGAATCAATACCAATAAGATTGTTCCTGGCCGGATATGATCTGACACCCACGATGAAAGACATAAATAAGAAGTTCTCTGTTCGATATTATCTTAATTTGGTTTTGGTAGATGAAGAAGAAAGAAGATATTTTAAACAGCAAGTAAGTTTTCTTTTTTTATAAACCGTTATAGTATTATGCAAGTATTTTTTTTAGTATTACTATAATATTGAATGCCAATTTAGGAAATAGTTTTATGGAGAAAGGGAGAAAAAACGAGGAAGACGATTCAGGCAGCTCAATCTCAGGAACAGGAAAATTAATTGGTATCGTAACAAATAAACAAAAAAAAAGATTTATCTTCCTGCCAAAAGTTGCCAAGCCTTCCACATTCAAAAGCGATAACGGTGTTGGTTTCGTGTGATTTTCGTCTTACGAATCCATAACAATGAAAGACTACATTACGCATTGTGCCTAAAAAAGAAACAATAAGGGGTAGTGCACATATGTACATAAATAAAATATATTCTATATTTATATACAAAAAAAAGAGAGTTATTCTAGTTTTTATTGTTAAAATGTGTTAAAAACACTTAAATGATGTTAAATAATTAAAATGAAATTTTAACTTTTAGCGTGATATCTACCTTGACGTTCCTTGCACGAATCAACAACATGTGCTCGCGTTTGATAGTTATTACGTACGTACGGTTAACCAGTTACGAACGAAACACGAGACGTAGGAAGGGCAAGAAATAAATACCAACGACGAGTTCGTGTTTTTAAACTTGTGATTTTAATAGTAAACTGGTTTATTTTGTCGGTTTACAAGGGTCTAATTATAAAATATCGCATTTAATTGTTACTGTAATATCTTCATATGGATTTTGTAGATATTTCATGTAGGTAGGTATCACGTTAAATGATTATTGAAATTATGAACAATGAGTAGTTTAGATTTTTTAAATTCGTTATCAGAAATATTTTGATATATTTGATTTGATCAAAATTTTAATTCTAATTTGCACAGTTTTTAAAATGAAGATACAAACCCATAATGGGCTTGCTACAAAAAAAAAAAAAAAAAAAAAAAGGCTCTCTTAGTGCCTACAGGGCAGGAAGAGTTTAAAAAAAAAAAAAACCTAGAAGCGCAGAAGTTTTCATTAATTTGTTTTCAACAACAGTGCATTTGTATGTACATTTCAGGACGCTATACAGTCGACCCCCCTATAACAGTGTTGATTTTTTCCATTTTATATGAATTCCATGTTGTACGAGTCACTGAGATTTTACAAATACGTGTGCCGGGCTGTGAACGTGTGCGCGCTCACGTATTTGTAAAATCTAAGTGACTCATACAACATGGAATTCATATAAAACGAAAAAATCAACACTGTTATAGGGAGGTCGACTGTATTTCTTCGCATTACTTCTGAAAAGTACAGAAAGTATTTTTAATTTTGTTATTTTCTTGTTAGCAAATTAAAACTATACAAGTAAGTACTTATAAAGCACCATTACGGATTTCTTGATTTTGATAAATTCTCCCAATGAGTACGCGTCATTTAAACGACAATACGGACGGAAATTGTTTTCAGACGGAGACAATCTAAACTTGTAAATAAAAAGCGTTAAGTTTATATCATTTTTGTCAGTGACGAGGTGAAGTTTTAAATAGATGAAAATTTAGTATATTTAATTCTTCGATAAATGTATTTGTCGGGTGTAAATTTGCATATCTAGAAGAATACATTCCAGTATTTTTTTAGTACACGCTTAATCGTCTCCGCGTCAAAAATGACATTTTGTAAACCTCGTTGAGTTTGTTTTTTTTTTCATTTGTGTATGTAACTTTTTCTTTAGATTTGGAACAGTTTATGATGTCAGAAAAAGCAGTGCCTTGTTCCATAACACTTTGTATATGTCAATAAACAAAAACTAAAAACTATTTGGTTAAGGAGTATTGTAAATTATTAAATAAAATTGATTAATTACAAAAACAAAGGATAATAAAAAGGACTAAATTTTATTTAAAAATTTACAATCTTTTGCGCGCGCACACCTTTTTTTTGGCACCTAAAATAATTCAATTTTACATTTTTTTAAGTACATTATTTATCTTTTGTTTTTGCAACTGTTATCTTACATATTACAGTATTTATAAATTATTTTAAATTGACATATTATAAAGTTTGATTCACAATCGTTTAATTACAAACAATTTAAAAAAAGAAAAAAAATTAAACTACTTTTCCGAAACTTTTACTAAAATAATGCATTAATATATTCTAAAACGTAAAATAATTAATTGTATAAAGTAATGACGTTATTTTTTTCCATTCCTGCGCCACTTGAATGCTTCGGAATTCTAAAGTTCCCAATTATTTTAGATCGAAAACTAAAAACTAGCATGACAATACTTTATGGAAAATCGAAGATCTTTTGCCTGTTTGTCGTGGCGTCGAATAATGAAGTCGATAAGAATCGATTATTGTGAAAATGACAGCTGTAAATAGAGATAATTTACACCACTTTTATGCTAAGATTTTATTAAATTTTCAAGATATAAGTCCAAAAATATTAGTGGTTCCAGAAGCCATCTGCTATTCAGTTACCGGCTTTAAAAATATTTTAAAATTTCTCAATATACACACACACAAAACCAAATAGGTATACTTAAAAATAGACATTTGATATCTTTTATGTATGCAAAGTGTGTATATATATATGGCTATTCACATTTAATATCTATCTATCTATTAAGATTTCTGTATTGGTCAAAACAGAATTGTTTTGTAAATAATGGCAATTTTGGAAGCATCTTCTTAAAGCTATATACATAAATACATTAGTTCATTGGATCCTGTTCCAAAAAGTAATCGACTTACGTCCCATTTATTATAGTAAGTTACATTATCAAAACTTTAAATTCACATTAAGTACATACAATTGTAAACATTAAAATATATAATTCCATACAAGCATAAAATTCATTATCAGGTAGAAATGGAGTTATACTTTAAATAAAGCATTTTCAGTTCTTTCTTTCAAATTAAAAACTAAATTTTCTGATCGTTAATTTTCTAAGGGAATAAATTATGGTAAAATAGGACAAACAACAAAATATCGTTAGGTCAATAAAGATGTAACGTAACATCATTTACGTAATAGAAATGCTTTGATATGTATTCTGTTTCGGAATTTTCTTTTATAAAATATAATGTGCGGGATGAGATTAACAAGCTCGAGTAAGGACGTGGAATAAAATCCAGAATTGGAGTCAAACGTATCAAATTGGATAACCATATGATGGAATATATTATATAAAATTTCGTCGTTAATAGAGCTATATGCAAAAATTTGCTTAAACTTTTCTTAAAAATAAAATACAAGACCACAAGTCTGTATAATTAATTTGGTCATATCTTTATTTTGATTATTATAATTATATAATTAACAAAAATATGAAATCATATTCTCTCATAAACCACGGAGATCTTGTTTACAATTAAAATTTGGTAAGAATCTATAAATTGTTTTTGAAGAATGCATTTTATTATATAATAATAATCGTGCTAATTAATCAAATTAAGTAAAAATCTTGAGCCCTGGAATATTTTTAGGTGACCGGTGATAACGTAAACGACTTAATTCGATATGCAGAAATCTGGCGACTTGCATTAACTTCCCAACCAATGCTATTTATTTGATTATTACTGATAATTAAATCCTTCGAAAATATTTTAAAAAAATCTCCGATTAATCCGGACTCTTAATTTTTACTCAATATAACAAATATATGGCCATCATGAAAATCTTTACCAGTATTTCTATGAGGAATTATCGTTATTTGATATTTCACGTTAAATTATACGTCTTTGTGTCCTTATGTTTAGTACGTAATTTGTCTACAAGGACTTTTATTTTATTACTTAGGACTAGATTCTGCAATTCAAGAAAACATATCGGAAAAAAACAGTCTTTACTTTTCATCTGAACACACATTACATGATATCATTGCGTTGATGACGGACCGACAGGTCCGAAACATAAGATTGATTTAGTGATAACATAAGCGGGTTAAACGAATAATCCAGAATTTCCACTAATTGTAATCTTATTCAGATTACAGTTAATGGAAATTTTGTTTATTATCTTGGGACATATTAAAACAAATTATTTCAATGCCAAACTTAAATTTATATTCAGTAATACGAGTAATTAATTAATCCAGTTTTGTTTGCCTGTTGATTTTTATAGTACTATATTTAACAACAGCTGGCATGTAATTGAAGTATGAAATACCAGTAATTTATTTCCTTGCAATACAATAATTTAACAAACATTTAAAGCACCAAACTGTTAACTTAAAAATGCCTATCAGCCTCAACATGCAGATAATTCACACTATTTACCTGAATATAATGATCACTTAACCTACCAAAACTCCAATTACAGTAAGTTTTATAAGTACTGGTATAGTTTAACTGATATGTTTTTTGGGACATAATAATTCTAATAATCTAAAAATCAAGCTAATCAACTGACTGATGACAATATCCATGATTATATTGCGACAATAAGCAGATTCTACTCTATTTTTAAAGTGATATGTAATTAAATATGATTCAATAATAAATTTAATTTTGAAATTTAGTCCCTGATAAACTTGCATCTTTGACAATATGGCAATATAAAAAGTTAATGGACCATAAACATTACGAATGACTTTAGCATATTTTAAAATGTCAATTTACTTCATAATATAAAGGAAAACAGTATTGAAAACTAGATAAAAATCATAATTTGAAGCATTATATAAAGACAAATTTCAAGTATAACTCTAAAGATTTAACCTGATAATGAATTACAAGATAGATAGAGATGATTCAATGCATCACGAAATATATTTTGGCAACGATGCAACTAAACTAGTGCGATATTTTCAAAATTGAAACGTGGCACCCATTTCCGATTTTAAGCCACGATAGCAAAAAGCACCGTGAAGTACCGAAACAGTTACGGCAACTACTTCAAAAAAAATTTTTTTTTTACAGAGATAGTCTAAATAATACATAATTCAGGTTTGTTAATCATTTTTAATCGTCCTCTCTCTCTCTCTTGATATTTACAAAGACGTGAATGACATTTAAAAAAGGAAAATGAGACTAGAAAGAAACATTAAGAATCAATTTAATGAAATGTGCTTTTTAAATTCTTTTATATCACAGTTATCACTTTATAAATGAAATTTTTAGTGCGAGTAGAAATCAATACGAAAGAATTAAATTCACAAAATCAATAACGATTATATCTGTAAAGGAACTGTTAACTTTAAAGTTTTATAATTTACAGTGTTTCGTTATTATATATATATATACAATACATACAACTTTCCCCCAATTCAAAAAAATAAAGCTTTGCAATGCATATTAAAAATGGTCGAGAGATCTGTCCAGAAAGCAATAAAATGGCAATTATTATTATTATTGTCAATATAAAATTTAGTTATCAAAATGCATTTGCTTATAAAATTTCTCTTAAAATTATTTTTGGAAGCAATATTTTATCATAAATCCAAACTTTGTGGACAAATCTCTAAGTTTTCCAGCATTGTATATTTATTTTCTTATACAATTTCATTTTATCTTAATATATTACTACTTTAAAAAGGATGACACAACTTCGAAATGTTTCGGCATAAACGTCACAGCATATAATGTAAATATAAAATATAATTTTTATGAAAAATTATGTAGAAGAAACGTACATTCTTATAAATAAAAAAAAAAAACGTTAAGAAGCCAAAATATATATATGTAAAGCAGCAGGCTCAATATATAGCTGCTTTTTTACAGTTGCGTCATCCCGCGCTTAAAATTTTAAAACACGCTCTTCGTTTTTATAAAGTACCTAAATTAAAAGGTAACTTTTGTATACGTATATAAATGCAATTCATATAAGTATACATACAAACATATCGACATACATGATCACAAAGAAAATGAATTTTAAAAGCTATCAAAAATATTTAGAAGCATTACACCGTCTAAAAATGTTATGGATGGATAAATTATTTTAAGTTTTAAGTTATTGCCATCCTGTACATGATTATTTTACTGTTAATGATTATTAAATGATTGTTTGTTTTTTTCAATCAAAGAGAAGAGAAAGAAAAAAAAAAATCCCAGTCGATAAAAGGAATATGTAATACTGTTAAGACAAAATATAGAAAAATTCATGCAAACAATCCAAAAATAACTTCTCTATATAAATTTGAACCAAATAAAATTCGTCCATCAAAGAAATTCAATAACTTAACGAACTTAATGTAAATGAATTTTTTTAAAAATTAATATATAAAATTTAAATAACAACAAGATTTATTTGGCAGTATATATGCAAGATTGATTCCAATATAAAACTTGCTACAATACATTATTTTTTCTTTTTCAAATTAACAACAAAATGAGTTTATACACCTGCATTTAGTTCGATGAAATCGGATGACAAGAAACTTGGTATCGTCTTGCGGTAAAATGTAATGCATTAATTCCATTTATGAAATAAATAGTCTAGACAGCAAATCAATACAAAATAAAAAAAAAAGAAAACAAATATACATACAAACATATATTTTACATATTAATAATTTACATTGTGTAAAAACAACCCCAAGTGCTAAAAAAAAAATTGTCAAATTCTGATGACAGTTTTTAATCTTAAGAATTATGTCTATTAAATTTTTTTTTTTTTTAATTTTATGGCAATGACAAGAAATGGCAACATTTATCGGGAAGATAAAATGCCATATGAAATTTTGTCATATCAAAATACAAATTATCGAATTTTATTTTGATATATATTTTTTTAAATCAAACCGCTTCTAATCCGAACAGTTTTTATTTTCTACTTGTCTTTCACTAGATTCTACGTTACTGTTACTCTCTTCTTCTTCTTCGTCTTCGTCCTCGTCCTCATCTGCCGACATTAATTTGCGTGCAAGTTTCACTGCATAGAATTCGTTGTAATGCGTTTTTCTTTTATATTCAAAAAGCTTCCGTTTGGCTGCAAATTTCAGATACAAACATTAATTTCACATAGTTGAAAATTACAGTACTGATGTTTAAACTGAATTTTGAATATTGCGTAGATTTGCTTTAAACTGTAGTAGATATCTGGTGTATAAGCAAAAATTTTCTTTAAAAATATCAAAACAAAACCAAAATATATTAATAAATACTAACCTAGTATTACTAAATACATACTTTCCCATTAAATAGAAAGTTTTTAATCATCTGCGGCTTAAGTTAAATAACGTTATTTGCAAATGATACCATGATAACAGTACACTACCATGTGATTTATGTTGGTTTTGACATTTCATACCTGCAGAAATTCTACTATAAGTCATAGCCATTTTCAATTTACAATTAGTAAATTTATCCCTTTATACTGTATTCATACTACTGGAATAATCTTTAAGCAGGATTAAATTAAGTTGCATTACTGAAAACAAAATTTCAGTGCGACTTATACCACTCAAAGATACATAAATGGCTTGACGGTTTATATTGCATCAAATATTATATATTTGGAAAGAGAAGAATTATTATAATAGAAGTGAATGAAAAGAAATACGCCTATTTATTCCCATCATATTTTGAATATAAGAATGGATATCAGAGAAAACTTTGTCATGAAACAACTTAAGTTTGTTTCAGAAAGCAAATTAATACGAATCACTTTCTTAAATTTAAAGCAAGGTTTTAATCAGCTTCACTTACATAGTGTTGCTTAAGTTCACATATTTTAAGCCTGTTTAAATGACAATGTGAATACTGTATTAGCATACAAAGCTTATGGATTTAAACACCACTATAAGCTGTTATTTATTTTAGTGATTAAAAACTGTAAATATCTGAGGAGGACTTCTCAAGGAAGTCAAAAACATTAGTGTAAGACTGAAATTATCTGCTGGAAAGGAGTGATTAAGGCTATAGTTTTGTAATATTAAAAATTGTAAACGGCCAGGAAAACGACTATCCGTAATGACTAAATTCAAATACTTATGCGCTAAATTAATCATTATACAAAAATTATTTTAACATTTGGCAGTATTTATCATTATATTCGGTCTCTGTTTATAAAACATCTTATATAAAAGATAATCTCGACATATATTCTCTACTTGAATTCATTACATGTAATATATTGAACAGGATGCAATTTATTTTCAGATTTATTATAAATTTATCTCACAAATCATCTAAGAAATAAAAATTTTAAAATTTACTTTGTTTTATTATATTCGACCAATCTGTGTTTAGTTAATTTAATGCAAAATTAGAAAAATTGAATTTCTGTAATTTCCAACTCGATCTGATCAGAACAAAGACATAATTGTGCCTATCTAAACATTTGTACCAATCAACCAGCAAAACAGTTGGCATATAATAATTATATTTGGCATCTGGCTAGTTTTTACTCTATGTATGACAGATGGATTTGAAGAGGACATAATTTTGCGATAGCTGATATCTAGCATTTCAATATAAAAAGTAACGTAATTTAAATAAATTTGTAAATCAAACATTACATACTAGAGGAAAAGTTATAAAAATTTAAAATATAATCTGAAATTGATAATTTAGGTAACTTTTTAATCTGCTTATGTAACAAAATTAGTTATCAAAGCTCTTTGCTGTTGAAGATGGATTTCAGAAGAAAGTGTCTTGTTAAGTGCACTGTATCAGTTAATGATAAGATATATACATAATATTTTTGCTAAATTGTGCTTCCATTTAAGACAAATCACATCCTTTCAAAACAGTACTACATATACACTAAAATAGAATTCAAATGCAATTTTCTAAGTAAAATACTTCTAATGTTTACCTCTTTCCTCTTCTGTTTCGTCTTCTTCTTCTTCGCTTGAAGATGTTTCGGTCATAACTTTTGGCGGTTTTTCTGCACCTTCTTGTATTCTATAAAATATTAATTTAAAAAGATTTAATTAAAAAAAATCTAATGAGATATTTTGCTAAAAATTTTAGGATTATTCTTAAAATTTTCAAATTATTGTTGTTAAAAATTAAATTTTAACAACAGTTTGAATAGAAAAAACAAAAAAATTCCATATTAAAAAAATAAACATTTGATTGTTTGAAAATGGTTGTTACATAGTAAACTCACAGTACATGCTGTGTGGTTAAATATGGGTTTTTCTAAAATAGATATAAATATTTATTCAGCTGCTAATGAGTAATTGATGAGATGAAACTACATGCACAGTTACTGTACATTTAAATAATTCTTAAAATTTTGTTGTGAAGAATCTGTTTTAATTAAAACAGTGAATATTCATGTGCTTCTTTTATATTCAGTTATACATTTTAAACAATAGAGAGATTAAATATGGCCATTTGAAAATTTATGATAATGACGTATATTGAATATTTTCCAATTTATTATGGTATAAGATACAAAACCGTCCATTTCCAAAGTAAATTATACTCTTTCCTTTTGACAAATTTTTTCGTGTATTAAAATTTAAAATTTTAACAGAAATATAATGTTTTTAATTGTGTTTAGCTAATTTATAACTAATATACAGTTAATTTACTTATTTGAAAGTAAAATTTTAAGCTTTCATTAGGAGTATTTACAATCCACAGCTTTTCTTGTAATATTAGAGAGGTTGAGGCACAAGTTCAAACGTTAAACGTGTACAGGTAGCAGAAGTACACGTTCCAAGTCCAAGTAATAATCATTGAGGCACACGTTCATAACATCACGTGACTCAGTGAACATCGCACATTGACTCACGGGAAATAAGTTGAAAAAATGGCGGAAGCAAAATAAATCATAATTTTAACCCCAAACACAAAAAAATGAAGACGTTTAAGTTGATTGTGTACTCACCAAGCTACACGTAGCAAACGCCATTATCGACGGTCCAGAACTGCCAGATGGCGACGCTCACCCGTTACCCGTACATGTTTTGGGCTAAATACATGTGCCTCAACCTCTCTATTGATTTTTGCATCTTTCTTAAAAGTCACAAAAGAATCACTTGCTGACCTCATTTTCATTAGNGTGTAAAAACAACCCCAAGTGCTAAAAAAAAAATTGTCAAATTCTGATGACAGTTTTTAATCTTAAGAATTATGTCTATTAAATTTTTTTTTTTTAATTTTATGGCAATGACAAGAAATGGCAACATTTATCGGGAAGATAAAATGCCATATGAAATTTTGTCATATCAAAATACAAATTATCGAATTTTATTTTGATATATATTTTTTTAAATCAAACCGCTTCTAATCCGAACAGTTTTTATTTTCTACTTGTCTTTCACTAGATTCTACGTTACTGTTACTCTCTTCTTCTTCTTCGTCTTCGTCCTCGTCCTCATCTGCCGACATTAATTTGCGTGCAAGTTTCACTGCATAGAATTCGTTGTAATGCGTTTTTCTTTTATATTCAAAAAGCTTCCGTTTGGCTGCAAATTTCAGATACAAACATTAATTTCACATAGTTGAAAATTACAGTACTGATGTTTAAACTGAATTTTGAATATTGCGTAGATTTGCTTTAAACTGTAGTAGATATCTGGTGTATAAGCAAAAATTTTCTTTAAAAATATCAAAACAAAACCAAAATATATTAATAAATACTAACCTAGTATTACTAAATACATACTTTCCCATTAAATAGAAAGTTTTTAATCATCTGCGGCTTAAGTTAAATAACGTTATTTGCAAATGATACCATGATAACAGTACACTACCATGTGATTTATGTTGGTTTTGACATTTCATACCTGCAGAAATTCTACTATAAGTCATAGCCATTTTCAATTTACAATTAGTAAATTTATCCCTTTATACTGTATTCATACTACTGGAATAATCTTTAAGCAGGATTAAATTAAGTTGCATTACTGAAAACAAAATTTCAGTGCGACTTATACCACTCAAAGATACATAAATGGCTTGACGGTTTATATTGCATCAAATATTATATATTTGGAAAGAGAAGAATTATTATAATAGAAGTGAATGAAAAGAAATACGCCTATTTATTCCCATCATATTTTGAATATAAGAATGGATATCAGAGAAAACTTTGTCATGAAACAACTTAAGTTTGTTTCAGAAAGCAAATTAATACGAATCACTTTCTTAAATTTAAAGCAAGGTTTTAATCAGCTTCACTTACATAGTGTTGCTTAAGTTCACATATTTTAAGCCTGTTTAAATGACAATGTGAATACTGTATTAGCATACAAAGCTTATGGATTTAAACACCACTATAAGCTGTTATTTATTTTAGTGATTAAAAACTGTAAATATCTGAGGAGGACTTCTCAAGGAAGTCAAAAACATTAGTGTAAGACTGAAATTATCTGCTGGAAAGGAGTGATTAAGGCTATAGTTTTGTAATATTAAAAATTGTAAACGGCCAGGAAAACGACTATCCGTAATGACTAAATTCAAATACTTATGCGCTAAATTAATCATTATACAAAAATTATTTTAACATTTGGCAGTATTTATCATTATATTCGGTCTCTGTTTATAAAACATCTTATATAAAAGATAATCTCGACATATATTCTCTACTTGAATTCATTACATGTAATATATTGAACAGGATGCAATTTATTTTCAGATTTATTATAAATTTATCTCACAAATCATCTAAGAAATAAAAATTTTAAAATTTACTTTGTTTTATTATATTCGACCAATCTGTGTTTAGTTAATTTAATGCAAAATTAGAAAAATTGAATTTCTGTAATTTCCAACTCGATCCGATCAGAACAAAGACATAATTGTGCCTATCTAAACATTTGTACCAATCAACCAGCAAAACAGTTGGCATATAATAATTATATTTGGCATCTGGCTAGTTTTTACTCTATGTATGACAGATGGATTTGAAGAGGACATAATTTTGCGATAGCTGATATCTAGCATTTCAATATAAAAAGTAACGTAATTTAAATAAATTTGTAAATCAAACATTACATACTAGAGGAAAAGTTATAAAAATTTAAAATATAATCTGAAATTGATAATTTAGGTAACTTTTTAATCTGCTTATGTAACAAAATTAGTTATCAAAGCTCTTTGCTGTTGAAGATGGATTTCAGAAGAAAGTGTCTTGTTAAGTGCACTGTATCAGTTAATGATAAGATATATACATAATATTTTTGCTAAATTGTGCTTCCATTTAAGACAAATCACATCCTTTCAAAACAGTACTACATATACACTAAAATAGAATTCAAATGCAATTTTCTAAGTAAAATACTTCTAATGTTTACCTCTTTCCTCTTCTGTTTCGTCTTCTTCTTCTTCGCTTGAAGATGTTTCGGTCATAACTTTTGGCGGTTTTTCTGCACCTTCTTGTATTCTATAAAATATTAATTTAAAAAGATTTAATTAAAAAAAATCTAATGAGATATTTTGCTAAAAATTTTAGGATTATTCNAATTTTTAACGTGTTAACCGCTATCCGACGTGCCGGCGGTCGTACTAATTAGGGCCGTACAGAGCCATACGACTGCCGGCGGTCGGAGCCAACTTTATAGATGTGCGCGAGAGACCACCACTAGGATGTAAAACAATGTCTTACAAGGCCAAGATAATTTAACCTTGAGTGAAACTACATTGGTTATAGCAACATTGGGCAGTCGGATGGCTCCGTACGGCCCTAATTAGTATGACCGCCGGCGCGTCGGACAGTGGTTAAGAATGGTTAAGAAAATAGGTTTGAGTGAAGTTACAATCTTTTTGCAATTTTTTACAATATTGTTAAACAGTTAGTCAGACAGCTGAACAGTTAAGGTGACAGTCTGCTGCTCTGGAGCTCTGGAATAAATTGGGCAGATCAAAAAAATCCCCAGGAATTTTTGGGAGTCGATCTTGGACGTGTTGGGCTATTTCCCTCATCGACTGACTGCCCCATTGTGGACCTGACCAAACCCGCGATGGGCTCGATAAAAAAGCCCTCTAAAATTATCATTAAACTATATTAGTACAGCCACAAAAATTCTAAAAATGTTGCAAAGAAATATTTATTGTTTTGAAGAGAATAAATTGGATAGGAAATTTCTCTAAATAAATAAATAAAACCAGTTTCTTTTTCAACTTCTTATGACTAATTAAACACAACATGCCAAATAGAGTTTTCATACTTTTTATTAATTTGTTTTATGAAATAAAAACAAAAAAATAATATAAGCAATGAATTTACTATTGTTAATATTTAAATGTTTGTGACATCATAATTACATTCTATTAAATAGTCACACAATACATTTCAGATATTCAGGAAGTGATAATATCTATAAATATATTTTCTAAAATTATGACAAAATCTGTTACTAAATACTTTTGACTCATATCCTTCATTAATGTTTGAATCACTCATTTGTCAATTAATTTTAAATATTAATGTTTATTTAGTAGGGTCTATTTCTGAATATTTATTTAGCTGAAATATTATTCTCCTCTAAATATATACAAATCGTAGGTGATTTAGTAAGATGAAAATACATTATAAATAATATATGTTGCAATATTTTAATCATTTTCATAATCATTATTCATTCATAATAATAAAAATTTTCGTATTGTGTAATTTCTTTAATGTAGAAATTAGACCTCATTTTCATTAGTATCCTATGACAAAAGCCAATGGCTTGGCAGAAAATTTCCTTGAAACAACATTCACAGATGATCAAAACCTACCAGCCAAAGGAACAGATAATTTTGTGATTTAAAAAATGGCTTAAAAAATTCTTTAAAAAAGACAATGCCAACACAATAAAGTGGTTCAACAAGGATGAAATAAAGATTACAAATTGTTCTGTCAGAATGCATGCTCACGGTTAACGAACTGCTCTTTGAAAAGCAAGAAAAAGCTTCCATTTGTCAATACTCCTATTGTATACCTTAAGAAAAACTATCAATGTAATGATTAGTGAAAATAAATATATTAAATCTATCATTAGTCTATTATATAAATTTAAAATAAAATCATAATTAATTTCTGAAAATATTTTTCGCAATATCTTCCTTTATAATTAAATCGTAATAAAAATCAGATTTTATTGATTTTGCAATCTTAATAAAATATAAAACTTACTTTTCTGCTAGAAGAGATGGGTTAATAGCTAATTTCTCAGTACCAGAAAGATCTTCATCTTTATAATAGTTATAAGGTGTTTTAGGCTCATCAATTGTCATGTGGCCATAATCTTTATCCGCAGGATGAAGTGTCTGTAATATGTTCATTTCGTCCCATTTGATATCTTGCCTGAAAATATACAGTTTTAAATTGATTAATTGATGAAAAATAATCAATTGATACATTGGCTTAAAATTGCCTAATATAAGAAAACGTAATGAATTAATGAAATATCAATAATTGGTTATACACGCAACTTTTTTGATTGCTTTATTTTTCCTGTTGAGATATAACACAACATACTTTATTAAGAAATAAATTTTTTACATCTAAACACAACAAAATTATAATTTTTATTTACTAAAGACTGATTATACAAGATGTCAGAGAAGTTACTGCGCAGTGGCAAAGTTTTATTAACAGTGAAGTTTTACATATGATATTGCAGCTTTCCCTACAGCAAATGATAGTAATGAGCCCCGGAGGCACCAAAATCTGGAGAGCAAGGTCCAGAGATTATCTAATCATCAAAGAAGTCTTCCAAAAACCAGAGCATCTGTGAGCAAGCAGTAATGCCACACAGGACTTATATGTATAGTATTGAATACAACACCTGTAATTTTAATATCATTCATTACAAATTTCTCACTGCAAAGTAACTTTTCAGACACCCTACAGTAATTTCTTATAAAATATTCATCTGTAAATTAATAAGGTTGACTGTCTTATTAATTTAACTAATTAATAGAGAATAATGCTAATGTGAAGATAACATATGAATATAGCAGCAAATATTTGATTATATATTTATAATAATTAACATTAATAAAGTTTTCAACTTTATACTGTCAAATCTTAATACACCGAGAACCATCCGTAATTTAAATCTTTTGACAGATAATCGATAATGTAATGGTATCAATTGCTTTCTAAAAGCATAAAAATATACATGCTTTACCTATAAATTCTGATATGTAATTGTAAAATCTGAATAAGATAATTATTATATAAATTCTCTGCTTCAAAATCAACTGCTTTATTAAAGAGATGAAAAATTAAGTTCATTCCAAATGATTTTGGTTCAAAAATAATCTACCTTCAAAAACATTAACAAAAAATTTAAATTCCAAAATGATTTTAAATAAAAAATATTTTGAAGTAAAGAATTTTTAACGTGTTAACCGCTATCCGACGTGCCGGCGGTCGTACTAATTAGGGCCGTACAGAGCCATACGACTGCCGGCGGTCGGAGCCAACTTTATAGATGTGCGCGAGAGACCACCACTAGGATGTAAAACAATGTCTTACAAGGCCAAGATAATTTAACCTTGAGTGAAACTACATTGGTTATAGCAACATTGGGCAGTCGGATGGCTCCGTACGGCCCTAATTAGTATGACCGCCGGCGCGTCGGACAGTGGTTAAGAATGGTTAAGAAAATAGGTTTGAGTGAAGTTACAATCTTTTTGCAATTTTTTACAATATTGTTAAACAGTTAGTCAGACAGCTGAACAGTTAAGGTGACAGTCTGCTGCTCTGGAGCTCTGGAATAAATTGGGCAGATCAAAAAAATCCCCAGGAATTTTTGGGAGTCGATCTTGGACGTGTTGGGCTATTTCCCTCATCGACTGACTGCCCCATTGTGGACCTGACCAAACCCGCGATGGGCTCGATAAAAAAGCCCTCTAAAATTATCATTAAACTATATTAGTACAGCCACAAAAATTCTAAAAATGTTGCAAAGAAATATTTATTGTTTTGAAGAGAATAAATTGGATAGGAAATTTCTCTAAATAAATAAATAAAACCAGTTTCTTTTTCAACTTCTTATGACTAATTAAACACAACATGCCAAATAGAGTTTTCATACTTTTTATTAATTTGTTTTATGAAATAAAAACAAAAAAATAATATAAGCAATGAATTTACTATTGTTAATATTTAAATGTTTGTGACATCATAATTACATTCTATTAAATAGTCACACAATACATTTCAGATATTCAGGAAGTGATAATATCTATAAATATATTTTCTAAAATTATGACAAAATCTGTTACTAAATACTTTTGACTCATATCCTTCATTAATGTTTGAATCACTCATTTGTCAATTAATTTTAAATATTAATGTTTATTTAGTAGGGTCTATTTCTGAATATTTATTTAGCTGAAATATTATTCTCCTCTAAATATATACAAATCGTAGGTGATTTAGTAAGATGAAAATACATTATAAATAATATATGTTGCAATATTTTAATCATTTTCATAATCATTATTCATTCATAATAATAAAAATTTTCGTATTGTGTAATTTCTTTAATGTAGANACTATATTTTCTAAAATATATTTATTAACAAAATTACGGCTTACTTAATGAAATTTTGTTCTGTAGTTTTAATGTTATTTCTCAGAAGTTCTTCCAAATTAATACATATATTTATTATTATTATTATTTTTAATAATGTTTAGAATAGAAAAAATATATATAAACAGTTGTTATATTTATGTGAATTTTTATCAGCAATAGGATGATAATCTGATCTTAAGTGTTTATTTAAATAATGAAAATTGTCTCGGCAATTATTAGCACTTAAACTTATTCAGATAGATGATGCAACAGAACAGCAAAGGTGAATAAATGTTGTTTTAACTAAGTTAAATACTCTATACTAAATTTTAAATTGACAAGTCAGCAAACGTGATAAGTTTTTAAACTGTCATGTGTTGAATATCATGCATCATATAATTTATAACAAAACATATACATAGTAAATTCTTAATTTATTTTCACATAGTTCACATTTTTTATGGGTTTTTTTCCCCTTTAATTTAGCATGTTTTTTCCCTGTGTTTGCTTATGTATGCACGTATTTATTATAGACTAGCTGCAAGGACCCACTTTGCTGGGTTTTTATTTGTTCATACATTTGTATGTAATATAGTTTTTGTTTTTTATATATAAAAGATTGTTTTTCTAAGTAATCTAGAATCTAGCTGCAAGGACCCACTTTGCTGGGTTTTTATTTGTGGGCAAAAAGTAACAATAGTGAAGATTAAGATAATTACATTATAGCCAATCTTACCCATTTTTACAGAATGCAAGAATTAGGTCCCTCGTTTCCAGACTAATTAGAGACCTGGTCCCGATTCTATTTCTGAATGTCTCCTGTTCACGTCCAGTCAAACGAACTATTTTCAACGTTTCTGGAACGTTTACAATCGTTCTATAATCAAACCAATATTCAAATTTCATGTTCGAATTTAATTTGAATATTGTTTGAATTAAATTTGAACATAACATTCGAAATAGAAAACCACTTTCAGCCCCATATCTCCCGCAACCTTATAGCTATCGAGACGCAACCCCCATAGTGCAAGAATGGAGACTTGGGGCTACTACTATATACAAACACCATTCACGTGCAATGTGTAGTTTTGGCAGAAAAGTGAAATATAGGGACATACACGTCCATTTATATATATATATATATATATATCAGCACAAATGGTTGCTATATCAAAGGATTTCTGGATCACCCAGTATAAAATTTATATCAAGTATTTTTTTTTTTTCAAAATGTTACTAATAAATTAAATTATTGTTTTAAAAATCTTATAATTCCAAAGTACGTATTCTTTGTAGAACAAAACATTACAAAAAACAAAATACTGCAGTTATGCTATTGAGATTTCTTAGATAACATTTTTCTGAATTGCTACATAACATTATAATTCACTAAATCCAATATATCATTTATACTGTATGTAATTCTATAATGATATACAGGTATTATTATTATTATTATTATTTGAAGTTGTTTATTTAGACTGGATATTTTCAATATTATTACCTATGTTCATTTGATATCATATAGCAATAGATATAATCTATTACCAATAATAATCACATACTTTTTAATCTTAAATAACTTACAGAATAATTTTAATAATAGATCATGTAACCAATGTGTGAGTTATATGAAAATAACCAACTTCTTTAGGTTTGTGTTTATGTTGTTCATGTAATAAATCATCCAATCAATACAAAATTTATCATATACTGTATAAAGCTAAGCTATATTAAATTTGTTAAGTATTTTATTTATTTGATTCAATTATACATATGAAATTCTTTGGATTAGCATCAAATTATTAAAATTCCAAGATTTAATTTTTATGCGTTTTTATGGTCAGATAAGCTTTGCGCACATTAAAATTTAAAAAATATTATGATTACTTCCATTTATAATATCTTTTTAGACTCTTCTAATTAAAAATAATAGGTTAAATTAACATTTTATCACACATTATTTCAGTACAAAATAAATAAATAAATAAATAAAAAAGAATGATATAAAATTCTAAGAAAGATTTATTTCAACTGTTTCCAATTGTCTGGCATACTTCAGAAAAGACAAATATATATGAGGAATGTAAAAATATTACAGGACAGTTACGTCATATTATGTAACACAATACGTACTTAAACAGTGACATGTGCCAAGGATTTTGAAGGTCAATAGTCCACTCGAGATAGCATTTAATTGGTAACAGAGTCAACCTGATTTTTCTGATCATCAATATCCTAACTGAAAAAATTTACATATAACTCAGAAGATAACGCAGTTTAAAAAGAAACTTGNTGTTTTTCTAAGTAATCTAGAATCTAGCTGCAAGGACCCACTTTGCTGGGTTTTTATTTGTGGGCAAAAAGTAACAATAGTGAAGATTAAGATAATTACATTATAGCCAATCTTACCCATTTTTACAGAATGCAAGAATTAGGTCCCTCGTTTCCAGACTAATTAGAGACCTGGTCCCGATTCTATTTCTGAATGTCTCCTGTTCACGTCCAGTCAAACGAACTATTTTCAACGTTTCTGGAACGTTTACAATCGTTCTATAATCAAACCAATATTCAAATTTCATGTTCGAATTTAATTTGAATATTGTTTGAATTAAATTTGAACATAACATTCGAAATAGAAAACCACTTTCAGCCCCATATCTCCCGCAACCTTATAGCTATCGAGACGCAACCCCCATAGTGCAAGAATGGAGACTTGGGGCTACTACTACATACAAACACCATTCACGTGCAATGTGTAGTTTTGGCAGAAAAGTGAAATATAGGGACATACACGTCCATTTATATATATATATATATATATATCAGCACAAATGGTTGCTATATCAAAGGATTTCTGGATCACCCAGTATAAAATTTATATCAAGTATTTTTTTTTTTTCAAAATGTTACTAATAAATTAAATTATTGTTTTAAAAATCTTATAATTCCAAAGTACGTATTCTTTGTAGAACAAAACATTACAAAAAACAAAATACTGCAGTTATGCTATTGAGATTTCTTAGATAACATTTTTCTGAATTGCTACATAACATTATAATTCACTAAATCCAATATATCATTTATACTGTATGTAATTCTATAATGATATACAGGTATTATTATTATTATTATTATTTGAAGTTGTTTATTTAGACTGGATATTTTCAATATTATTACCTATGTTCATTTGATATCATATAGCAATAGATATAATCTATTACCAATAATAATCACATACTTTTTAATCTTAAATAACTTACAGAATAATTTTAATAATAGATCATGTAACCAATGTGTGAGTTATATGAAAATAACCAACTTCTTTAGGTTTGTGTTTATGTTGTTCATGTAATAAATCATCCAATCAATACAAAATTTATCATATACTGTATAAAACTAAGCTATATTAAATTTGTTAAGTATTTTATTTATTTGATTCAATTATACATATGAAATTCTTTGGATTAGCATCAAATTATTAAAATTCCAAGATTTAATTTTTATGCGTTTTTATGGTCAGATAAGCTTTGCGCACATTAAAATTTAAAAAATATTATGATTACTTCCATTTATAATATCTTTTTAGACTCTTCTAATTAAAAATAATAGGTTAAATTAACATTTTATCACACATTATTTCAGTACAAAATAAATAAATAAATAAATAAAAAAGAATGATATAAAATTCTAAGAAAGATTTATTTCAACTGTTTCCAATTGTCTGGCATACTTCAGAAAAGACAAATATATATGAGGAATGTAAAAATATTACAGGACAGTTACGTCATATTATGTAACACAATACGTACTTAAACAGTGACATGTGCCAAGGATTTTGAAGGTCAATAGTCCACTCGAGATAGCATTTAATTGGTAACAGAGTCAACCTGATTTTTCTGATCATCAATATCCTAACTGAAAAAATTTACATATAACTCAGAAGATAACGCAGTTTAAAAAGAAACTTGTTTTTCTTTTTTGAATACAGTTTGCAGGAAAAAATAAAAAATAAACTGAAGATTAAAATTACATAACAGAGGAAAATGTTTATTTTTTAATATTTATATTATTATATTATTATATCATTAAATTATTATTCTTATGTATTATTATATATCATTATTTATTAAAGTTACATATAAAATGGATTATTTAAAAATATATATAACAATTATATTAGAAAAGTGGAAAGAAAATCTTAGATTTAGTTTTCCCACTTTTTAATATTATAAATTAATTGAATCAAACAAATTTTTGATATTTTATAATTTTAAATACAGTATATGTATTAAAAAAAACTCTACAGTTACTTTTATATATTTAACAATGGAAATTAATTACGACAGATATATGTACAGTATTTATTATCTTGAAATACGTTCAGTTGAGATTATTTAATTTGTAGATAAATTAAAATAGAATCCTGTAAAACTATTTTAAGTTAGAGATTTCATAGATTTTTTTTTTCCTGAATAAGGTTTCAGTAGAATTCAATCGATACTATATATATATCAATACTATATATATATCACAAGAAAATATTGGAAAGAGATAAATAATCTCGTTATATTAAAGTTACTATCAACTCTTGCATTCATATGTTTATATCACAAGAAATTTATATTATTAACAGATTCATTATAAAGAAATTTTTATGGGTTTTTATTTTATCATTAATTTTATTTAATTTACGCTACATTCTAATTCTGATATTTTGACAAATTTTTATTCCGTCGAATATGCTTTAATTATTATTCTAACAAACCCGACGATAGGAAAAATTGTTCAAAAACAATAATCGTCTTTTATAAATAGTTTTCGTAGTAAGTTATTTGCTTTGAAACGTTAATACTAATACACTGTATATATAATATGTAAACGATTTCTTTAATTTACTAAAGTTATATTAATTTCTAGTATTTGTAACATTAGGAACAGAAATCTACGCAGTGAATTTTATCGATTAGAAGAATTACCTAAGATTTAAGCAACTTTCTATTTTAACTAATTATAAAATTAGTTTAAGACTTAAATAAATTAAAGATATTGAAGTATGATAATAGTATAAGTTCATTAAAATTTTACCATTAAAATTTACTTTTTAACCAAACTTTACACGTATCGACGAAGCTAATTTTCAAATAATTTACAGTTGTCCTTGACAGAGATCCCATTCTTTCTACGTTAATTAAATTTATTTTTGTTTACACAAATGGATTTTTCATCTCTCTCTACAATTACTACATCCTTTATTTAATTATAAAATTTTCTTTTATTTTAATAAGATTTTTATTCGATATTTCGTTGAATTATTTTAAATGCTTTTGTCATTTCCAATAAATAATGTCATTGATCAATTGCATTAGTAATCATATTTATACAAAATTTAAGAAAAAAAAAATAGTTTTTTCTATTTAAATATATTTACAAATTTATCGTTCACTTAAAAATAAATACCATTTAATATCAGAAATTGGGAAAATTTTTAAGCATTACCTGTTAGACTAGAAGTAATTAAATATATGAAAATAAAGTGAAAACTGGTCTGTATCTCTAATTACACAGCCAAAATTGGAATTTTAAAGTTAAATCCTAGCCTACGCGACTATTTTTTTTCTTCAATATTAATGTATTATTAACACTTATAACATTTTAACTAAGTTCATTGATATTTCTATCTTTACATAGAATTCATATTACATATATACTATAAAATAAATAGTTAAGAGAATTTATAATTTATTTTCGCAAGATATGTTAATAGATTCAAAAAATATACATATATTTATATATTTTTACTTGTTTTTTTTCTTATTAATTCCCTTAACATAAAATATATATAAAAATTTGTGCTTTAATGCATGACCTAAAAACGTGAAAGTAATTCCTCAACTTTCCTAATCCATAAAAAAAGAAATAAAAATCAAAATTTAATGATACGGCAAGTATTACTGAAATTTTTATTAATTCTTATAAATATTTTATGAAAATTTTAATGCATATATCAAATTTTTTATCATATTTTGGAAAAACTGTATATTTAACAATAGATAATTAATTCATTCTGATAAAAATTCATTGCGATTACATAATGAAATTTTTAAAATTTATTAAATTTCATACTGACTTCATTCAAAATTATTAATATACTTATCGAATAATGACTATTTACATAAACTGTTTATATTATAAAACCCATTACTTAGACGGCCGAGCGGCGAAGGTGGCAGCCTACCGCTTTCCGGGGAACCCGGGATCGGATCCGGACGGGTCGAAAGATCCCCAATGTCCGGAAACGTTGGGTCGGGCCCCGTCCCTCACCACCCGGCTAGACCTGGCTGAACCCGCAATGGGCTTGCCAAAAGAGGGTCGCTTAGTACCCACAAGGCAGAGAGTTTAAAAAAAAAAATTATTACTTAAGTATAATTTAGGATCCGTTATGAAGATTTATATTTATTCATGAAACCTTTCCAAAGTCTAAATCATTACTTTAAATTTATTTGGCTTCACGGAAGCACATATAAATAAATTTCGTACCGTGTCGCGCACGCAACGCTCGATGCCGTTCACTAATTTGCCGAATTAATTCTCAGTTTTAGCACCTACCAAAAAAATTTGCAAATGATCTACAACTCAATAAAAAGATTGCAGTTTTATAAAGAGAATAATGCTTGTATTCCATTTAAATTACACTACAAAAAAGAAAAAGAAGGGAAATATCAATTGTACTAGGAAAACAATAAACAATTACAAACAATTATTCATAAGTTTTAATACATAAACAATAGAGGTGACGTCACAGACCTAAATTGAGGCATGGTGTCATTAAAAGACTGTATAAACAATGGATTTAACTGAAGAAAATTTAAATAATTGTATATATTGAGGTGAGGAGTGTTTGGAGGAATTAGAAATGAATATAATAATATATAATGTGTTTTATAATATAAACTTTTGAAGTTCTTTACAATTCAATGGGAAAGTTACTTACTGTCTATTGATATCATGCTGATCTAAACTCTTGGAGTGCTTGAGAATGCCTTTAGCTGGTTTCTTCGTTAAGTTCTCTGCCATTTTCTTTACATGAATCAAACTCGTGCTTTCTATGTAGCGTTATATTGTGTAACGCAAGTATTTCTAGCACACTTAATAACAGCTCAAATCCACTCGTAGAACATGTTCAAACGCCACATCTCGGTTAATATTTAAAACTCTTTATCTTTCACTCCAATCGATAGTAATTCGTCAAGATGTATCTTTAAAAATATTTCTATTACTGTAATTACTATTACTTTACGAAAGGAAAATATTATTTATTAGTTAAAATTTTAAGCGTTTATTATTATTATTTTTTTTATAATAAATTTTAATTTTATTTTTTAATTATTGATATCCGTCGTTTTTGTCTATATTCTCCATTTTGAAATGGAGATAATATTCGGAATAGGATTATAAATAATTAGTTTATAGGGTTTTTATTTTGTGTTAAATATTCTTGGTTAATTTCATAATAATGCCAGCCAGTTCGGGCGATTTCGTTGTATTCGGCGGTATTCAACAGCGCATCGCTATGAGGAGTCCGAGTTCGATTCTGGTCCGGATCTTCACAATTTTAACTCTATGGGCACTAAGTGGGCCTCTTTTAGCAAGCCAATTATGGGTTTGGCCAGGCCCACAATGGGACTGCCGGGTAGTGAGAGACGAGGCCCTACATATTCAGGATAGACCACTCCCGAAAAATTCTAGGGGCTTATTCGACCGCCTGTATTTGTTACCTGGTTCCCGGAGCGGTAAGCTGATGCATTAATGCGATTATAAGTTAAATAATTATACAAATTTTATATAGTTATTCGAATATAATTTAAAAATTGGCCTATAATTGCGGTATAGGGAGCGAAAAGTTTAAAATTTTTCTTAAAATTGCTAAAAAGTATTTGAAATAGGATGACAAACTATTATCAAAGACGTATTATATAAGTATATTAATTCAATAAAGAATTCAGGACGTTAACACTCCACAAATGACAGTTATTAAGTATTTCCTCATATTTACGTCACATTTACGTAAGTACTTTAACACGTATAAGCTTACGTCACAGTTATTAACAAGTGACATAAGCTTATATAACACTACATTGTATATAATTGTTACTGTGAAAGACCGAAATTAGAGAATGTCGATATTCTCCGGTGAATGTCGACACACAAAATATGTTGGTGAAAGACCGAATATTTGGTTATATTATTATACATTCGAACAATCGCAGGTGTATGTCGACAAGCACAGATAAGCTTTGGTAGAGGTCGAAACGACACCCGAGAAGCCCATGTCGACAGGGAGGCGACAGTATATTGCTAAATTCTACGCCGTTTCCGTCTTCTGAAATTGGTGATATAATACGAATACAAGCCCCTTGCCGTACAGATGCCCGAAATGTGTTGGCGGTTGTTGTTTGAATAGAAGACTCCGACTTTTATAAATTAGCAAACAAAAATGTTACCCTCAAGCAGCTTTATACCCGTAATCAGTTCGTAAATTGTAAAGAAAAGTTACCAGTACTTTCCATAGATTAGATTTCTTTTCAAGAAATGTCGCTGAGAGAAGTAGCTGCAGCTAATTCGAAAAGTGGAGGGCAAGGCTATACACGCTGCCATTGCAAACAGAAGTGTTCCACGAATAAATGCAGTTGTAAAAGCAAGGGACAAGAGTCCCTTGCTTTTAACCATTGCAAAGAGAAGTGTTCCACGAATAAATGCAGTTGTAAAAGCAAGGGACTGTTGTGAAATTCAAAGTGCCATAACAGTTTAAGTTATTCCAATAAATAAGATTGTATAATGTTAATCACATAATTTATGTGAAAGTTTATTATTATATTATTTTCTTTAATGATTTAGAAGGTGCTGTTACTTAAGCTTTCTCCTATTTTGACATATTAAAAAGTTCATTTGCATAACAGCATACATGATAACACGAACAACCCAGGATATACAACCTGGCACACTTTAGCACAATATACAACCAGTTATATATTGTGCTAAAGAACGTGGTAGTTATGGTCAGAAATTGTAACCATTGTTTTAATGTTAAAGGACGCCGAATCCTCAAATAAAAGGTCGGCGTTTCGATCGTTTTTAACTTTGTGTTTTTTTCGTTATAATTTATCACGTGTTCTGTTGAAGTTCATCCAAGCCAATATACTGTTACTTCTGTGGTGTGTTAAAAAGATGAAAGATAGGCTCGAAAAATTAAAAAAAATTTTGTAAATACAGTAGAGCGTCGATTATCCGAATCAATTAGGGACTGGGGTTGTTCTGAAGATCGATGTTTCGGATAACCGAATATGTACGAAAAATATATTAATTTATCCCATCTTGACATTTTTCTCCGTTGTGTGTCGCTTCGCGTTGAATTTTCGTCGATGTTAAGCCTAACAAAGACTATTGTATCGTTAAAAATTATTTTTTTACTTTGTAAAAACAAAATAAATATATTGAAAAATATAAAAACAATAAAAAATTATACTTCAGAAGTTAATTTAGTATCAAAAACGTAAAATATTTGAGTATCCCAAGACATAGTCAAAGATTGCAGCGCCACAGCACTGGCGAAAATTTAAATTTGCCGACTGGAATTCTTTCGGATGATTGACTTTCGGATAATCGACGCTCTACTGTGGAATCAATCATTAAAAGAAAAAACCAAGCGCGTGAATCTTTAAGCCTGCTGTTTCTGGATGTGATCCTGGTATAAGCAACTTTACAACATCTTAATTACAGTAATTATGTGTTATTTCTTGATAATCCGTCATGCCGGATTATCAAGAATTTACCTTCCATTTTAATGTAAATCTTTTAAATCACGTCACATTTTCTGTGTATTCAGCGCGCCGTGTTATTTACTTGTCTGCCTTCTAAAATATACAGTCGACCCCCTATAACACTGTTGATAATTCCGTTTTATATGAATTCCATGTTGTACCAGTCACTTAGATTTTACAAATACGTGTGCCGGACTGTGAACGGCTCACGTATTTAAAATCTAAGTGACTCGTACAACATGGAATTCATATAAAACGGAATTATCAACAGTGTTATAGGGGCGTCGACTGTAATCGATATCGAAACGTGTCAAGTCGCGTTAGGTCTACGCGCTCTCGGTAATCCGACACTCCGGCTAATCTGGCACAATACCGTGCATCAGAGTACACTGTACAGCAATAAAAGAGAGACTAAAAACGTTAATTACGAAAATTTAATAAGTAAAAACATGAAAATCGATAAATTTGGAGGGAAAAAGATAATAATATTTGTACATAGGTTTATATACAATAAGTTTTAACAATAATATATCCCATATAAACCTTTCTAAACCGAAAATGTTTGCATTTAATATACAGTAATACATTTAGTTTAAACAGTATAAAAGATGTTTATACATACGTATAATCCTCCACAAAAGTTATAAAAGTTTAATAGCTTAATACTGGATTTAAATTCGAATAATAATTTTAAATTTTTCAAATAGAAAATTAGATTAATAGAGAGATGTTGCGGCCGAAGTTTTCATCTGTAAAACGTGAACTTCGAACGTCGAGCGGCGCTCGACGTTCGACGTTCACGTTTTGACGTTTGACGTTCACGTTCGACGTTCACGTTTTACAGATGAAAACTTCGGCCGCAACTTCGCTACTTTGTGACAAAAATTGGAAAAAAACTAATCATATTAGATTAAAAAAATTGTTTTAAATCTATTTAACAGTTTAAAAGCCAAATATTTACAATATATATTACGTTATTTACATAAAAAAAAAAAGAAAGTGTAATGGCGAAACACGAGAGTCCATAGCCAAATTTGTTGGAATTTTGATCTTCAAATTTAGGCCCCCTCTCCAGCGATAAAACTGGAATATATTTTAAAATGTAGAACCTAATTTCCGGTTCCTTAAATATTAATTTTTGATAATAATAATAATAAAATTTCGTTAACAGTTAACAATTCTTCGACTTTTATTAATCTTGGCGATGACCATTTGTAGCAGTTTGGAAAGAAGTTTGTTGTTCTTCGGTGCTCTGTATAAGAAGAGGAAGAATGAATGTTTTTCCTTTGACTAACTCTTCTAAACCCTGAGAAAGAATACAGAAATATATTTAAATATAGATATATATATATATATAAATTACAGTATTTAAAGATTAATTACAAAAATGGGTACTTACTTCTCCATCGTAAGATACCAAAGGAGAAATTTCGCAAACGATCTTCTTTGCAAGATCACTAATTTCATAAAAAAAATTGTATTTATTATAAAATATTTTCATTTATTTATAATTAAATTAAGTTATAATTTGTTTAAAGTTTAAAAGAAGACGTAAAATTCCTGTCACTCCGCGCATTGATCTTAATTTGTGAGCCACTTCACACGTAATTTGATGATCTATTAGAGAGGTTGCGGCCGAAGTTTTTAATCTTTAAAACGTGAACGTCGAACGTCGAGCGCTGATTTTACAAATACGTGAGCCGTTCACGGCCCGGCACACGTATTATGTAAAATCTAAGTGACTCGTACAACACGGAATTCATATAACACGGAATTATCGAAAGTGTTATGGGAGGGAGTCTACTGTATATTAGGAAATTAAATCTTACTTTGAGATGAGATCCATGTTCTTAGAATCGAATCTACCTCCCGCATTCAAGACGTAACGCATATGCAAATCGAAAAGATCTTGTCTAGCAGAAATTGGTGAATCGTTAGCCACATCTTTACTATTTTTCAATGGAGAAAACTCGTCTTTTCTTATAACTTCCCAAACAACAAATCGGCTAGAAACATTTAAAAAATAATTAATTTTAATATATGATATTGTGTACTCTAATTCAGTGATCCTCGGCCATTCTGAGGCTGAGGAATACCATTCATATATATTTATTACAAAGAGTATATAGGCATTTTCCCTGTTGATATACAATTTCACTTTTTTGCCCATAAGATAACATGAAACTGGGGGTATTTAAGTGTTATAAACTTAAAAAAAACCCAGTAAAGTGACCAAACTCTTAGTGTTCGGGGAACAGAACCACTTAGCCACTGGTGGTCCTCTAAAGGAATAAAACTTTTATCATTTGTAGTGTGAATTGAGATAATTAGAGGGAAAGGGAAAGATGTTAACTGAAAATAATAAAATAAAAATACTTTTCTTACTCCGATAACTCGAAAACATCGAAAACAAATTTTTCCAATTTGATTCCATTTGGTTTGGTCGGTTTTATTTCGTGACCATTTTCGTCCACGTAAGGGATTTTCTTGTTAGCCACGTGATGCTTTAATTCCTTTGCACTGAAATATAATAAATAAACAATTTCACTTGAATTCATGCATAAATATGAGTGACGTGACAAGACAATTTGTGGACTCACTTGACTACTCTTTTTAGAAAATCAAAAGTGAAATAATGATTGCAGATATTTCCAGCGTTGAATGTTAATCTTCCGTTAGGATTTCTCAACTGTGCCGTTTCTAGAGATATTTCGCTATATTCTACTACTTTATATTTACCATTTACTCGGCATACGACTCCTACAGATTCTGTTGGTTCTACCTTTTCAACTACCTGTAATATATATAATTTTAATAATTAATTAGGGAAGAAGTTTCTCAAGCTGTCAGCAAATCCCCCTAAAAATAAATCATATATATATTTATAGGTATAAATCATTAAGTCCGACCCCCACTCGGTATATGGCACATTACCCCGCCTATCTCCCCATCCCCTTGACCCTTAACCACTAAAATTGTATAGAATCAGTCTCCCTAATACCTTAACCTCTCTGCAAAACTTCTTTACCCCAGGTCCCATGGGACCTGGGGTAAAGAAGGCCCTTTTGCCAAAGCGTTATAGCTTCATAGGGACCAGGCAAATTTGAATTACGAGGACCCATGTACAGTGTTGACATCAGACATTTTTCTTCGAGGGAATTTTTTCAGATAAAAGATTAGTTTGAAGAACTCCAGCCCATAGGATAACGCCCCATTGTCTGTCTTTCTTTAATCTCGAGAACGGTATTAGATAAATGTAAATCAAGACCAATTATGGAAAACTTAGGGAAAAGAAGACCCCGATTAATTATATAAGAAATTACGGTTTTCACTGGAAGTCACGTTTATTTCAATTCAAAACTTTTCCCCCGAAAGTAGTTAATAGATGACCCAGAACCACTCTATTGTTATAGGAAAAGTATGATGTACAGGGGCAAGACACTGCAGTATTAATTTGAGGTGGAGAGCATATATTTTAGATTAAATAAATTAAAAATTGCAGACCGATAGTAACATTATCGTACCCCGCACACAAACATCCCTACATACAGAAAAAAAAACCCTGAATTCTTTTGCATTTCTCAACGTTTTAAGTTAAAAATGGGGGTGTCATCTTTTGACTTTCCCTCTGATAAATATAACAACAGGGAATCACTTTTTTTTAAACAACAATTAGCTTACAAAATTGTTTTTCAAGAAAGTGATAATAAACTTTATCTAATTGTAATGATGTTTTTCTGTGCCAGTTTGCGATTGGTTTTGTCAAATTTCGAAACATTTCCTACCCCAGGACTCAGAGAAACTGTTTATTTTTTGTTTGAAGAACCCCAGGCAATTCCTCTTTCCCCCCATAGGATAACGCACCATTGAGCAACACAATACATAACTTTATCCAATTAAAAATTACCTTAGCAGCACAGTTTGCTCCTTTAGAGATGCAATAACCGATGAAAACTGGATCGGCCATTTTTACTAATATATTATCAACACAATAAACGTGAATATGTTCTATTCCACGCCTTTCCATATCTTCTAATATGCCTTTACGTTTCAAAGCCCTATAAAGACCTCCGTTTCCATCTATTAATAAAATATTAAAATTTTTAATTAAAAAATTTCACAATTGAATTTCTTATTTAAAAGAATTTCATTAATTTATAATACAAACCAGGAGATTTTGATATTTTCCACGGTTTTTCTAATATAATTTTTCCATCGAACGTAAAGCATGGCAACATATTCTGTTCGAACATAATAATATCTTCTTTATTTAAACCGAAATAATTATGATGATCGAAAAAATCCATAGTTGGTTCGATTGTATGTTCGCTCGTCATGATATACCTTAAGAATTAAGTGTTTAAATAAATAAATATATAAATAAAGACTGAAAAAATCAATGAAAATGTATACTAACCATGGTATTTTTCCTTTTCTTCCCGTTTGTTCGTGGGCCAACTTTTGCAATTTGTAGATTCTTTCACCCTGAAGTTGATAGAGTGATTTACGAGACGGTAATCCCACATCGTACATTCCTTTGGGATGACTTACACCCAACCTGGTTCCTTGTCCTCCGGCTAACAGAAGCACCGCTACACGATTATTACTGATCTGATTGAGACCTGAAAAACACGCATTATCTTAATACCACAGTCTAAAACTCGTGTTTTAATACGGTATCGTGTAATTTAATAAAAGGTACAGCGAGTACAGGTTTACGTGTTCCTCATCTCCTCACTGAACTTAACATAAATCTAATTAAATCTATGAAAGAACGTGAAAAGAGAAGGAAGAATGGAAGGTTTTGACCCTTTATTCTTATTAAAAACCAACAAAAAAAAGTATTTAATTTTAAAAAAATCCTGGAGATAGAATAACGAAGTTAATCTTTCTCATTAAAATATTTTAATATCTAGACAAAAAAACTATTTATTTTCTATTGATAAGAATTATTTATCTGTAATTTACACGTGCTACTTTCTTTTCTTGAGCATTCTTTAGTTAATTTATATACGACTCCTAGTCGATTTGACATATGACCCCTACAACGGAAAGGTCAAAAAACTTGTCTGTACGATGCAAAATAATAATAATACCGGTACGTGTAGAAAGAATTCCTCGCTGAGATTAAACTCTAGAATTAATAAAATACATAAAAACCATTGGTTATTGTATTCTTTAAATTTTCTATAACTGTCAATTTCTGTCATACGGTATACTAGAACTATGTGTTATTCTATAAGATACACTAGAATTGGGTATATTGCATACTAATTTTCTAGATTATTATCTATACTTAAAGTGGTATATTATCTTACATACGTACTACACACAATTATACTTGAATTTAACACATAAAAACACTTACCTTCGAGTCTATATTCTTGTATTTTAGTATCGGGTGTAATAGAAAAAATTCCATGATTTTCGGTAGGAATGGGTTGTATTAAATTATCCAATTTTTCACCATTATTATTAGTAATCCTGCACGTTTGTTCGTAAGATGATAACACGTCTTCAAAGTCTATACTGAGGATGTCATTTAACAACATCTGTTGTCGTTCGTTATTTAACTGGTTCCAAAATTGTAGCAAATGTTGTTGCCCATACTTTTCCAGATTCGATCGTAATACTTCCATATTTTCTCAATCCAATTTCCTGTTCTAAATAGATGAAATAAGTAATAAAAAAAATCTTATAACTGTTTATCGAAGCGTAAGAAAATATTTAAAGTTAAGTCAAGCAGAAAAATCTATTCTCTTTAATGGCAGACAAAATGTTTTGCTCTGGGTTAAGACAAGTGGAAAAATAACTGTAGGGTGTCCTGATTTCTCTTACAGGACTAAACTACTGTCTCTGCAATCCTGCTAAACAGGTGAGACAGGATAGGTATGTTAAGAGGGAATGAGTATTCGGTTGTGGCGAAAGCACATCTTTTAGTAATGTTAAACGAGATCGCATCTCTACAACTTCAACATTTAACAATCACATTATAATTATTTTATCATTTAAAAGAAAGAAAAAAAAAATGTCATATTTAAACTATAAATGATCCTTAAACTAAGGTTGACCTCATTACCTTACGAACAATAATGAATAAAGGTTACCTTTAGTAATGCTGAGTAAAATCTTTAGTAGTAAGGCTGCATAAAATCTTTAGTAGTTTAGTAGTAATGCTGCATGAAATCTTTAGTAGTTTAGTAGTAATGCTGCATGAAATCTTTAGTAGTTTAGTAGTAATGCTGCATAAAATCTTTAGTAGTTTAGTAGTAATGCTGCATGAAATCTTTAGTAGTTTAGTAGTAATGCTGCATAGAATCTTTAGTAGTTTAGTAGTAATGCTGCATAAAATCTTTAGTAGTTTAGTAGTAATGCTGCATGAAATCTTTAGTAGTTTAGTAGTAATGCTGCATAGAATCTTTAGTAGTTTAGTAGTAATGCTGCAT